TATGATCCCAGTAACGTCCCTGTGCTGACATAGATTTATTCGTTCATGCATGTAAAAGAAGACGTTTTCAGATATGGTTAAGTTCTTCTTTCCGATAAGAGGTGGGGGCCGCGTTAGCACAGTCGATAAGAGGCTCGCTTTCAAATACAGCTGCCACTCGCTGCAGCCCACGGTCGGTGTTCGAAACCGGGCGGCTCCCGGGGTTCACCCAGCTTCTAGGAAATAGGTACCAGAGTTCACCTTCTGGGGTAAATAAAGGAACGTCGCTGTAGCCACAGAGTGACATGCGGACGGCGACACAGGCGGACAATTCTTATCAGCTGTCTGTACTGGTGGCAGAGCACTTATCGTCTATAACCGTGAGCAATGGCGCTGGTTCACATCTCTCGACTTTACCTTTTTTTCGATAAGAGAGATACATCAGGGGGGCTGCGTGATCTCGAGGCATGGTGTCCTTTAGAGGTTCCTGGTTCAATCCTCGGTAAGGGCTAGGTTTTTTTTCACGTGGACTTGGACTTCAATGAATTCCCCCTTGTCTCAGGGTGGTAAGATTAGACGCCCGTGTGCATTGTTGCGCACGTAAACAAATCCCTTGGCATTTGGAAATCGAAAAGAGCCGCCTAACGGCGCTGCCCGGGCAAAATTTGGAGTGACAAGTCTACCTAAAGTATTTCAGGATCCTCGCCGGTGCTACAGAGCATGTGCATTGTGCTCAGCTTCTTCGGACTCATACTTGAGTTAGAAGAAGAATGGAGCACTTTTCGGTTACTACCCGTGTGCCATGATGTTGATCCGTTGTTCAAACTTCAACTTCAGATAATCAGCTAAGTGGTTTTGCGATTAACATAAAATAACCTTTGACATTTTGCAATTAATATTAACCCTTAACCTGTTAGGGTCGTAGAGGCATGTCGATGGAAGCCCTAACATACAAGACCCACCATCTTTCTATGTCTTCCGTTTGCCCGACGCCAGCAGCGAAATCACGTTACTGTAATATGAATTTATAAATTTATTTCATCTGTATATTCGGTTATCCGTCACAGTCCTGGTCTCGACGGTGACGGAATAATGGAAGTTTTACTGTATATGTTTACAATGGACCCAAAACACAAAATAGCCTCGTTGAAACACGTGACAACAAAAGGAGTTAAGAGCCATTGAAGTTGTTCTTCAGCATTCCACATATCCTAACGACGATTTGACCAAAGCCAACAGGCTGAGCGGGGTTTTGTTTAAAGTCATTCTTTCAGGTATTGTGGGAACACCGACCGTGACGTGATGTTTGTTAATGAGATAACTCTCTGCCCGAACCGAAGCAAAAGCTAATCTTTTCGCCGTGTTTGACATTGAGTCAGCCGGGATTGTTCGAGGGGCGAGAGCTGAAGAGGAGGGATTTTGGTTTTCCCCTGATTACTGGTTTCAGAGGGTGGTATTCGCCGTAGACTCGGGCGGCTTGGTCGCAGTGGGAGAATATTATGTATATAATAAACAAGTATATATTGCAATAATCGGCACTAATGGAAAAAAGTAGAAAAATAGAAGTACACACTAGGTAACATAAAAATCGAAAGCTATAGTTACCGTGCCGGGAATCAAACCTGTCACCTCCAAATGGCGTGCTCGCTATGGATACCAGTGCACTACGAACACAAACAACTAGGCACCCCTAAGAAAGGTGTCTTTATTGGACATTATCGTACAGCTTGAAATCCACAACTGTGCAATACGGACATAATTCATCTTAAACCACTGAAATGGTACCATAGGTTACAGAAATATATATTAACCAAGCATAGACTGAATAACAATCATCAACAATTTACAAACCCAGTATACCGTAATGCTTTGTCTACACTACACAAACATGTAAGAAAGAGGTTTAATTGGTAGGTTCCATTGTGTTACACGTCATTCACATAAATAAACAGAGGAAAACCCTTGAGGCCATAAAAATATTATATATATAATAAACAAACATAAGTTGTATTAATTGGCACTCATGGAAAGAAGTAGAAAGACAGAAAGACAACATAAACATCAGACACTATAGTTAACGTGCTAGGAATCAAACCTGTCATCTCCAAATGGAAAGTGGTAGAGTACCTAGAGAGGGGGGGCAGGGCGGGGGGGGGGGGGGCAGGGCAGGGGAGGGGGAGAGTAGCTGAAGGGGAGGGTTGTTTGTTTTTCCCTGACTACTAGCTTGAAAGGGTGTTCTTACAACAGTTTTTCTCAGTCTCTAGAGGCTCAGGTGTCTTTTTTTCACCTGGAGAAAGGAAGACTGTAGAGGCCATCCTCTGTGGTGAGTTGCCGATGGGCAGAAGATGTCGAGGCCGCCGACCTTAACTAAGATATAACGATGTGTGCAAGCGTGACATACATAATATAGATATTGCAGTAAATCGTTGGAACAAGATGCCATGAAACGTAATGTATAGAAGATAAAAATCAGGAAGGGAATGAAAATAAAGGAAAACACCGCATTATGAATGAGAACTGATCGTCTGAGAAGATGCACACCAAATATATGTAAAGGCAAAAAAAAAAGTAAATGTGAACTAGCGTCATTGCACCCGGTTATTAAGTGCTCTGCCACCAGTACGGACAGCTGATAAGAAATTGCCCGCCTGTGTCGCCGTCCGCTCATAACTCCGTAGCTACAGCGACATTCCTCCATTTACCCCAGAGTTTCAACTCTGGTACCCATTTTCTAGAGGCTGGGTGAACCCTGAGAACCACCCGGTCTCGAACATAGGACGTGGGCTGCAGCGAGTCGCAGCTGTGTTTGAAAGCGAGTCTCCTATCGACTTCGCTAACGCGGCCCCCTACCAATTGCATGTGACGGCAACAACTGTCCTCCTGAAATCGGATGCTTTAATTATAGCAGACTGTTCTTAACAGAGGAGGTAGGGGGGGGGGGGTAGGGATGGAAAAGTATATGTCTTGCTGGTCACACTCACCATCCCTGTGGTCTGTGTTTCCCATGCCTCCCTGTAGCACAACATAACACTATGGTCTGGAAATACGGAAAGGTGCCTACAAGAAGCAACAGCGGATTAGCAGCTGCTAGATGGCTGTCTGTCGGCTGGATGGGCTTTTGTTCAAATATGCATCATCAATGAATTGTATTACTTGACCCTGGCGCTGAAGTCAAAACAGTTTAAAATTTGTACCAGGAAGTGTCGGGAGTACTAAATGCGGATTACCTAATGTTGAGCTCTTTACCTGACAAGTACCGATTAGATTGTAGTTTATGGTACTAGCAACGCACTCCTGGTGTCGCTAAGACATGAAAATGGTCCTTAAGAACATATATATATATATATATATATATATATATATATATATATATATATATATATATATATATATATATATATGTAAATTTAATGTTAGTGTTATCTTAGTGTACCATGATGTCGAGTCTTTTAGAAAGTCAAATCAAATATTAGCCTGCTTACAAGTGATGAAAGTCAGAAAGCAATGGCAAACTACTGCCTAGAAAAACCTTAACAGCCGCAATTTGTCGTAGCTGTTCTGCAACGTCTTGTAAAGGATACGCAACCAACTTTATGTGCTTTGATATACACAAGTTCAGAACGAAAAAAATAAAAAACGACTTTATACTGTAATTTTTTTATAAATACTGAAATATATACACGCTAACATTCAAGATCTCTTGTAGCAAACACTTTTTATGGACCATCACATCCACGTGCTGGGAAATCTTGAATACGTCCCCACACGACAGATACCACTTGCTTGTATCCCCTGGCAAATATTGTGACATATCGAGTTTCATTATTTCCTACCTTGTTGAATAAGTAAATGTTACGCAGCGGTAACCTGTAGTTTGCCTGTCCCTCTAGATAGAGCGCGCCATATTGGATAAAACCTTGTATAATGAACCTGAAACTCTCCTCTTTAAACAATATATCCTCCCGCAACGTTTCTCCAAGAAAGAAAAATGAACTGTACGTTAAACTCATTCATATCAAGTATGTGGTCTAAGGTGACATAAGAAAACAGCATTACATCCTGCCATGCAAAGTTAGAAGATTCTGCTCTATCGGGATTATGCAAATGGAAAAGCAGTAAGCAAACAGGATGTACCGTGTTTCGGTAGAGAGTGAAAAGGACACACTCTGCGCTTTTGAAGCTACTGTAGTCTGTCAAACTATGTTGTCTGGAAAGAGGATTTAAAGGACATAGTAGGCATGCAATTTCGCGAGGCAAAAAGTTGATAGGGGGTCAAGTGGCTTTCCAGTTTTTCCTGAGGAGAGCGACTTTCTCAAAGGACTTAACTGACGATGCTGATGACTATGATCTTGACGATGATGATGACGATGATGAATGATGACGATGATGGTGACGATGATGATGGTAATTGTCATATCTTGATTAAGATTTCCCTTTGTCAGCGTGTGAATTCTGGAAAGGCCAAATTGATCATCACGGTCTAAACAGAATGATGCAGCGTAAACTGTCACTAAAATTACTGGGTGACGCTGCTGAAAGAGCTACGAGCTGGCTCTGGACGCAGAGGAACGTCATGGAGGATGGGCCTCGGTAGACTGGTCCGAGTCTCTACTGGAAAAGAGCGTCTTATCCCTTAAAAGCAGAAGTGTCCAAAATGTCTGCCAATGGCCCTCTGTCGACTGCCAGAGTCTAAATGTCAAGTCTAACACCCGTTCGATGCACCAACCGAAAGCTTGTCACCATGGTTGTAAGGAAGTCGACTAATCAATAATTCTCACATCTGGTACAAATCACAAAATCATCTTATCGCTGTCCGAGAATATCGGGTAAAGTGCAGCAGAGGAAGATCGAGGACTGGGAGTCATGACCCAGGTCGGCTCACCTTCCAAGATTGTATAGGAATGGTAACGGGCCGAAACAATTGTCAACGAAGGATCTTTCTAATGATGATCGGTAGATCCCTGTTGTACATGATCCCCTTGTAGAGTTCTTATTATCATGTATAAATGGTTTTTCCTCAGGTCGATTCAACTTGCATGTGACGTCAGTTGGGGAGAAGAATGTGTCTCTAGCATGGACAGGGTTTGCACCTCCAGGTTATTTGTATGAGTATGTACTTCTAACACGTGAGAGAACCTACCACTCAGACATACAACACTGGAAAATCAAAGAGGTATATAGTGTTATTCTATTTTACTACTTGTGTGTGTGTGTGTGTGTGTGTGTGTGTGTGTGTGTGTGTGTGTGTGTAGTCTTGGCTACTTTTACTTAGAGCTGAGTTGACATCACAGCACTCGGGGCATTCTCATGCATGCTCCTTCCTCATCTTCAGCAGCCAGCGCAGATTTCAAATACTTATGGTACCGGTCACAATCTGGTTATATGTTCGTCTTGCCTTTCCTCTGAGTGTAGTGAGCTGGCCAGACCTTCTAGTTACACCCAGATGGCTCATTCTCTCCATGCCATTATAATCTTCTATCCCTAATGATTCCGTTGCTTGCTCCGTATATAATACTGTATACTTAGAATCACTTTCGAAGGGGTATGGGTATAATTTATCAAAGGAAAAGAAAGGCGCCTCCTTCCCTCTGCTGGCCTATGCGACACGCTTGGGCAAGATAGATACCTGTTTAGCTGGGCAAGATGGATACCTGTTTAGCCTACCCCCCTCCAATCAGGGTATTGTGAGACCATGTAAGCAGGTGGTGGACAGCCAACATATGATCAATGCTAAAAAAAGCAATGGCAAACTACCTTCTTCAGGATGGCACACAAATCATGACTGATTTGTGATCCTGCTGATCGTGTGAAATATGACAGTCTACGTTTACCGGCGCGGCACGCGATGATGATGATTATCGAATGCACCACCGGAGACGTGGAACAAAAGTTGACGGCATTCGGAAACAAAGGCTTAATTAAATTCATGAACATGAAATGGGATTAAGTAAAGAAAAGTGAAGAGATGTATGGACAACACTTTTAAGACACCGAAGAAGGGGGATATTTTTAGCATATCATGAGCAGAAACGGACAGGGAATAACCAGAGAGGCACTTATGTAGGAAACAGATGGGTTATAGAAATGAGGATTTCCAAATGAAACCTAACAGGAATGTTGACGTTAAGGGTCTAGTTGGGCTGGATTTCACTCTTGATGTTGATACAACAAAGCAGGATATAATAGAAAGGAAGAAGAAACTGCGAGCGCTATATGATGTAAAAAAAGTAAAGTAAAGATCCCTTTCACGCCTTTAGGCGTATCGGGCATATGAGAAGAGCGCCCATATTTTTACAGACCATCAGCACTCGGTGGGTAATGTGGTCAGCATTACGCCGGCTGTCTTTACTTTCCCAGGACAGCCCATCCTGGTACCCATTTGAGGCTGGGTCGACCTGCGACGTCCCATACCACGATAAAAATCCACGCAGCCCTATGATGTGTAAAGGTAAAAACATGATCATGATATTTGCAGGTCCAGAATTGATTAAAAGATATGGAGAAAAAAAAATAAAGTAACATGTAGAGAGATACACAACACATAAGAACAAATATACTCTTAAGTATTCTAAAACCTTTATTTTCTTCTTAAATTCAATGCCGTGTGGCGTTGGTGGTCATGTCTATCGACAACCTTCTGTCTCCTGTACTGTTAATCAGCTCTGGCACAGATGATCCTCCAGCATTGATGTCAAACTGTCCAGCTTCTTTTCTCTCAGTCTCCCTCTGCCTCTCCCGCCCCCCCCCCTCCCACTTTCCTAGTGTCACGAGGTACTCTAGTTTTCTCCTCATCAGATGACCAAAGAATGTAGACTGCATCTTTCTAATGTGGGCAATCAGTTCCCTTCGTGAAGCAGTTTCTTTTAAGACGTCCCACTTACTCTTCTATATTGTTTTAAATTATTGTCATTAGAAATACACAGGAACAACGAAATTTATAATCTGTTTAAATCACCTTTGATCACTGGCATCATGATAGCTAATAGACCGAAATGGTTGGGGCATATTGAAATAATGTCGGATTACAGAGAAGTAAAATCTGTATACACAAGGGAGATGAATGGTCGCAGACCACGAGGCAGACCAAGAAAACGATGGAGAGAATATGTCCAGGCACTTGGAGTCACTAACTGGAAAGAGAAGGCCAACAAGAAAGATGCATGGAGGCGGGTGGTATTTGAAGCAATGAACACCAAGTGCTCGGAATGCTGAAGAAGAAGAAAAAGAAGAAGAAGACGGATATACACAGGAGACGCCAACAATTAAAATCACAGTAAACGGAGAGTTTTTCCAGGCAACTTAGCCTATAATGACTACCAGGTGAAGTCCTGGTAAGAAAGAAAGGCCGTCGTGATGTAGTCCAACTCACCAATGGTGCACTCTGTCTTAATAGTACATTTTCATAACTGAAAACATAATTAAATGCTCAATATTTGCTCCATGCTGCATGTAAAAGCCCGAAACTATCACTCGCTAAACAAAATGGCAGGTTACTAGTTGTCAACTGACTAAGGAGTGCTACAATTTTGATCACAATAAAATATATCTCATTATTTATTTGTCGAACGGTGTAGAATAGCAGACAAATAGACCGCACGATAGGTCGATATATTATAATTAGACAGACAGATGTGTAGTTAGGTATAAAGAACCCTATGTGGGTGGGTCCATAGATCGAGTGGGTGGGTGTGTGAAGAATGGACGAATAAATACTAAGCTGGGTAAAAATATCAAGAGATAGTTATATAGCTCAACAGGTAGACGTGGGGTGGGGGGGGGGGGTTATGTAGATAGATAGGCAGGGTCATGGATGCGGTGAATTAAAATACAGAGAAATTAATAAAGGTATAGGTAAGTGAAAATAACCAAAGACAGACACATAAACAGATGGATGGAAAAACGGTCAGCCTGAATGACATACATATTTATTAAGTGACTAGCTGTACCTGGCCACGCGTTGCTGTGGCATAGTTTGGCTAAATGGATAAGAAAGAAAATAGAAATCGCACGTGTCTAATACGGTTACTGTCGAAATCATTGTCTGCGCACATACAGAGATAGTCTTCGATGCCAACATCCCCCTCCCTTTTCCAAATACACCCATCAAGTGAAATGAAACGAAAACCAGGACAAATACACCATAATTACGAAATGAACGCTTTGATAAACAACACAGCCTAATTCCAACTCAATGTCAAAAGAAATAATTTAATCTAAATGAAAATAAATAGAAATCTATGAAAATTCATCGTAACCATGCAATCGGGAAGTTTGAAACGAAATCATAAGTATGCGAAATGGTCAAATTTAATTATCAACTGGTTTATCCACATACCTGTACATTTAAAAAAAAGTATTTATGGCTAGTGCTGTCACCGCGACAGTGCAGGTCTGGGTTTTATTTTGCCCCTGCGTTAAAAAAAAAACCTTGCCATTCTGGGGATTCAATCCCTAGACTCCCGCACAGGAACCCAGTGTACTAACCATTCGGCCAACCAACCACTCCTTCTGAGCAACGAAAAGAGAAGAAAACTATGCAAGATGTGAGTCCCGATTCTAACACAACTCAAAACCGCAGGCAATTGTTTTCTCATAAACAAATATCACAGATATGAACTTAAAGTATTATTGAAACGGCACAATAATAGAAACCGTATGTGTCTAACACGGTAAATATCGCAATCATTGTCTGAGCAGACATAGTCTTTGATAGCCCCTCCCCCGCCCCCACCCTTTTTCAAATCCACCGACTACTCTCTAACTCATCGAAGGTTGTTTAAAAAGAAAGAAAATAGAAATCGTGTCTAATATGGTTAATGTCGCAATCAGCGATATAGAGATAGTCTGGTTTGCTGTATCACTCAGGCGAATGTTGAAAGTCGTGCCTTCCGACTACTGCGCATACACATTTACGAACGTGGCTTTAATTAAATGTTACTAAAATAAAAATTTTAGTTTCGAAAAATGTTTCCAACAAATGTCGTCACCTATCTAAACAATGACAGGTAGAATTTCAAACCATGACGGGTACAAATCCGGTATCAAAACAAACATATCCTGAAAATTTCAGCTAAATCGGTTCAGTAGTTTCTGAGTCTATAGGTAATAAACAAACACACAAACATTGATTGTTATATATATATATAGATAGAACGGCAAACATACAAACCTATTTCTTTGTATAATACTATGAGTTTTTATGTCTACCTCAGATTGGTAACCAACCAGCCTACACTCTACGAAGACTAAATCCAGCTACAGTCTACTTTCTAAAAGTGGCCGTGTGGGAGGACGCACATTCCCAGATCCTAGGAAACATCTCAGAAACTGTTTTAATTAAAACTCAAGGTACGTGTTTCTTGTCTGTTATTTTCACTGAAATATAGGTAATACGGTTTATTGCTGTCGAATTGCTATGAAGCAGTAACATGTCACAGCGCGAACTAAGACTAAAGTTCAATGAAGGGAAAGGAAAAGACGCGCACAAACATGAACGAGCGTTTCGAAAGGATAAAAACTGCACATGTGAAACGAACCCACGACCTTCAGAACGCAGTGTTGATCACCGAAAGAACTAATCTGCCCGACACAGGGACAGCGAGAAAACAAGGTCACGACCATCGGCGAGAAAGTCAAACAAACAACTTGATTTACCTCGCCATTAAAAAAAACCCCCATTTGGTCTAACTCTAAAGGACCGACTTTGTTCCACCTGATTTTATTCCATCTACCCTCATAACGGCTAGCTGCCTGTCAAAAACACCACACAAAGCACGAACTCATTATCGCGAGTGACGATCCCCAGGGATCTCTGATTTACCTCGCGATTAAAAAAATAACCATTTAGTCTAACTCGAAAGGATCGACTTTGTTCCACCCGATTTTATTCCATATAGCTCGGTATCTACCCTCAGAACGGCTAGCTGCCTGTCAAAAACACCACACAAAGCACGAACTCATTATCGCGGGTGACGATCCCTAGGGATCTCTGCAAAAATACCACTCGCAAACTGAACAGCGCAGTCGTGAAACAAACGTACGGAGGATAAGATCTGCTACCACCCCACATCCCAACAAGCATGACGTAACAGTAGACTACTTGGGGATGGCTGTTCAGACGTCAGAGTTTATCTTGACAGCAAGAAACCAGCAGTCTGCCTAAAATTAGGTCATATATGTAAAACGAATGTGCAAGCAAACTAAGTTTCTGGAACTAGACCAAATTCCAGAAGTGGACGAACAATCAAAACGTTCCGCCGAAGTTTACAGCTGGTGAAAGCTAAGAAAAAGAAGAAAAAGGAAAAATAAGTAAAAGAAGAAGAAGAAGAAGAAGAAGAAGAAGAAGAAGAAGAAGAAGAAGAAGAAGAAGAAGAAGAAGAAGAAGAAGAAGAAAACTTTGATGATAAGGAGGAGGATGAAGATTTACATGTACTCGGTCTGAAGAGAAGATCAGCAGTGAGTGATCAGGGGATCTGTCCGACACTCAGAACTCAGGAAAAAGGTAACATGGACATACAGTCAGACTTCTACTGGGACCATCAGAACTGTACTCTGCACTAGCTTCTGGAGGTGGTGAGGGAGCACTTATGGAAATGTCACGAGGGCTGTGACGTGGATTCTAAACTCAGCTTAACAAACAATATGCATGATTTGCCAGTGTCCTTTGAATGTGCTGGGTTTTAACCTCAAACACTCGTTCCATCGCCGGCAAACACTCCAAAGACACTAGAACTTCACAAAAGAGTTGTCTCCAAACATGAACTCTATACAGACAGTCAAAGAAGAATAGTAAACCAGCACAGAACTGGTTTTATTAGTCGCCACACGCTGAGGGATATACTGAAGAGGAGATCCGAGCGCTTGTGGGCTTGTGCGCTGTGCAGTGAGGGTATTCTGTCGATTAACTAGATAGCTAGCTAGCTTACTAACGTTTATAATCTATCAGGTGTTGTCACCGCGATAAAGGTTCCCTGCAGTCATAGTCGAGAGGATCGACATGATTGCACAGGGTTTTACCCCATATGGCTCGGCCTCTCTCCGCACAACGGGTAGCCACTTGTCGAGAGCGCAGCGCAAAGCACGAACTCCGTTGCTCCAGCGAGGACGCCAGGGATCTCCGTAGAAACTGCACTCGTGAACTGAGCATAACTCACGACCTGCAGATCCCTGCAATGGATCTTCAACATCCTCTGTCTCACCTTTAGGGTGTTACTCTTCCGAATGCTGTTTATCCTCTTGATATTATTACCCCACCCCCACCCTCACCCCTTCAATGTTTTTTTTTTTTTTTTGCCGCACACACATTCCTCGTCTGTCGTAGCTGAACCCTTCAGTGGGATTAAAATTTTTTTTTTTTTTTAGGTGAGTCTTTTAATTTATCCATTCATTTGACTTCTCTCTTCTTTTTTATGTTACAACACTCTTTTAATTTATAAGTGACTCCTTGAGTGTGAAAGTACATGAGGCGGGAAAACTGGCGAGAGACAAGAGTTTCTTTCAGGCAGACTGTGATGAGAGCGATGTTCTGCAAGGGACCAGCTACATGATGATGATGATGGCTCTTTTAATTTCTATCATCCCCAGAACCTTGGGGTCAATTGTTTCTGTTTCCATGATTCTGAGTTTCCATATCTTCTGGAAATGAACATTTTTCTGTCTTCTAACGGCATTTTCCAGCTGTCCAGTTTTGTGACCACCGTGAGCAAACCTTTCTGGTGGGTGAGCAGTTTGTCCATGATTGCGAAGATAACTGCACGTGTCTACCAACTGGACAGTTTAATTGTACGCCCCTGTGTCCAGAAGATGGAGTGCCAGAGGTAGAGGAAGGGTGTCACGTTGCTTCAGGAGACGCGTGCTGCGAATATAGGATAGTGTGTCCAGTAGGCGGAGGTAAGTCAGTGTTAGATAAAGATGTGCTTTCAGAGATTGTAGAGACAAACTGTATATGCAATTGTGAACCTGTGAAATGAGATTCTTGAGTAAGGCTTCGAACAAAGCCAGAAGACAACGTCTGAGAAATAAAGAGATAGGGAAAAAAAATGTTGAAACGATATTCATTTAAAATTTCAGAAATAAATATAGACTGAAATGGTTCAGTCACTGGTGAGAATGTATCCTACGATGCCGGCAGCGATAGCTTTTATAGTCTACGAATGGAAACATTTGTTGGTTTATTCGTTGGTTTATTTAACAAATCAAATCATGGCACACGGGTGTAACCCATAAGTGCTCCGGATCCTGCGAAGCATCCTGACATATTTTGGGTAGATTTTTAAGTCAAAATTTACCTCGGGCAGCGCCGTTAGGGTACTCTTTTTGATTTCCAACTGCCAAGAGATTGTTTACGTGCTTAACAATACACACGGGCGTTCGATCTGACTACCCAGAGACCAGTACAAATTGCTGAAAATCACGTGAAAAAATCCCAGCCTTTACCGGTGCTTGAACCCGGGACTTCATGAAATATTAGGAGGCAGAAAGAAGCGAGAGAAAGAGAGAGGGGTAGAGATAGAGGGAGAGAGATGGTGGGGGGGGGGGGGGGGACAAACAGTATTCGACAAAAGGTCTTACAGTCTAAGACATCCCAGCCACCAAACAAAAGTAAGACACTAAATCGGTTACCAACCTTCTCTTAAACTGCGTCGATGGAAGTTAAATATGTATAAGTAAGTCGATCATAAATCAAAATATTTTTCAATGGGGTGCTAAGAAGACGGATATAAATCAGTGTTACCATGAAGATGTTTTCAGTGATTCTAGAAAGGGTAGTAACGATTGCATGTCCAATAAGTAGAGGTTAAGGGAGAGACGCTTTCCGTGATTATAGAGAACAGAGTCAGGATTATGTTGTCCTCATATTGAATCTGACTCTCCTCCTGTTTCTCAGATTACCCCAGCTATGTGTTTTTTAGAGATTTATTTTAAACTGTCTCCCGCAAGAAGGCACCAATATGATAAAGATAATAATACTTTCATGCTCCGTCTTGTTGAACAATTTTAAGCAAGAACAAATACGAAACACTCAATATTCTCTTCATCAGATTACGTATTAATTCAAACTTAGATATACAGCTGTTGTGACATGACAGTTCAACTATTTGGCTTGTCTACCGTATCATGGTTGAATCTACAGAACTGACAGGCGCCCCCTCCCTTTTTTTCCCTCCCCCACCAATACACACCTGGGAGTCAAGACAACCTAATAAAAATATATACTGGATAATTGTAAGACTTTTCTGAAAATTCTTCTGGAAAGAAAGCGACAAAGAAGTGGTCTTACTACCCTGTTTATATTATTAACACATCATTTACCACTGTACTAAATTCCCTTCATTTTCATAAATGTGTAATGTATAACTGAAATGTCATCATCATCATGGGCCCTTCCAGCTGGCGTAGGTGCTCATGCGACTCCAGAGATCACGATCCCTGGTTGCCCGAAAAGCTTTCTCGATTATATACCTCCGTGCCATCGTTTTAGCCCATCCAGCATCGTCTCTCTTGGTCTGTCTCTATCCATTTTCTCACTGATCTTTTCAGTTTGAAATGTACGCAAGTTAATTGAAAAAAAAAAAAAAAAAACTTGAACAAACTAATAAAAATAAATAGTTAAATTATAGCAATTTCGTCTCATATATCAAACCAAACAGCAGTGTCCCAACAACAGTAACTACCATTGGCTATCATAGCCTTCACATTGTAAGTAAATTAATGGCAAAATACATCTTACCTGTGATTGTTAATAACTTGAATAACAAGAAACAACAAAATTACCGGCTTTGGTTGATACTTGAATAGCGATTGAGTTCTTTTTCTTTGATCGCCCTTAAAATGTGTTTAGCACGTTGCATTGTGGTTTACATCAAAGCTAATTCGGCCCACCACATTCTTTTGCAGATAACACCTGATTAATCGCCTTATACGACAAGCTTTTTAGAGAGTAATGGGTCTATTCCCCTCCCCCACCAATACACCTTAGAACCTTAGAACCCACGTGGGACATTTGTATTATCAGTAACAATAAAACAAAGACAAAAGAACCAACGAAAAAAAAAATACTTAGCCAACGATAAGTCATAAACATCATCATTATCATCATCCACATCATCATCTACATCATCATCATCATCATCATCATCCACATCATTATCAACATCATCATCATCCACATCATCATCATCCACATCATCATCATCATCAACAACATCATTAACATCATCATCATCCACATAATCATCATCATCATCATCATCAACCACATCATCCACATCATCCACAGCATTATCATCCACATTATTATTATTTTCATCATCATCATCCCAAAACACTTCATTTCGTGTCGTTGGATCATCTGCTGCTGTTAACTGATCAGCTCCCGCAACTTCTAACTGTTAGATGCGATGTACTTCATACTTGCATTTTGTAAGGCCTGTTCAGTCAGTCAGGTTTGTATCCAGCTCTTTCTTGGTCTGCTTTTTCACTCTAATGAGTCCTGTAGTATTGTTTTAGAGAGACCGTTAGATCTTTTTACATATCCGAACCATTGTATTGTTAACCTTTTCATTGTAGTAAAGACTAAAATTAGTTAAAATAGGCTCATAGTCACTAATGTACAACAATGCATGCAACATGAAAAAAAAAAGAGAAAGAAATATCTGACTCTGTTTCAACACCGAAGCAAGCGCTTATTAAGATCTGCCCATACTTGAGTACAGGTTGCCTAATAACTATATGCCTAAGCTATATGCCTAATAACTGTTTTGGGGTGCGCCAGTATAACGGTGCATTGTGGCTATATGGTTGAACTGGGTTTATCGTACTTGATTGATTCTCATCCTGGAGATGTTTATCCTACAGACTGCAATCCTGAAAGGGGATCGGGGTCTTTAAAAAAAAGCCAGAACAATGCTAATTCGAAAAGTATTGATATGTTGGTGTCATGCCGCCTTTCCAGTCTCTAGTGTTATACTGTACTATAAAAAGGTAATGAAATAATCAAGTAACAGAAAGTATTGTGAACGGCACTCATAGAAAGAAGTAGAAAGATAGAAGAACACACTAGACAACATAAAAATCAAAAGCTATAGTTACCGTGCCGGGAATTGAACCTGTCACCTCCAGACGGCATCTGCGCCTCGCCATTAATACAAGTGCACTAAGATACATGGTCAACTAGGCAACCCCCCCCCCCCCCCCCCCCCCCCCCCCCAAAAAAAAAAAAAAAGGTGTCTCATTGGCCATGTCAATCGTACAGCTTGAAATCCACGACTATGGAATACGGACAGAATTCATAAAAAGGTAAAGGTGAAGTCGGCAGATGTGACCCGGAGTCATCGCACAAGGGTATAAACCGTAAGGTGCTCTGATACCAGTACAGGCAGCTGATAGGAAACTGTCCGCCTTTGTCGCCTTCCACACGTAACTCCGTAGCTACAGCGACGTTCCTCCATTTACCCCAGAGAGTCAACTCTGGTACCCTTTTCCTAGAGGCTGGGTGAGCCCCGGGAACCGCCTGGTTTCGAACACCGGCCGTAGACTGCAGCGAGTCGCAGCTGGGGATTTGAGACCGAGTCTCCTATATTGTACTTTAGAGAAGATTAGGAATCACCACCCATGGCGATGGCGAGCTTGACTAGCAAGAGTCACTCGTGTTAAGAAATGTTTTTGACAATTACAATATAGGATTTCATGACCCTTGTTGCCGTTGCATGTTTTTAATGTGCTTTTTCTCAGACCCTCTTCTCTTAGACTATCTAAAGTCGTTTTCTTCTTTACTCCACTTCCATTCGTTATGTCTTCCTTCAAGCAAACTGGCCCATGGCATGATGTTTTCTATCTCATTTCAAACATCATAAAATGTGGAAAGATAGGCGCGTTTATCTTTTCATTTAGTGCTTATTTTCAACCCCGTCGAGATCGACGCAAATAGATCAGGTCGACGTCCTTGAACTATCATACAGTTACCTTTTTTTCGGCAGTGACGTTAACAGGAGTGTGTGTGTGTGTGTGTGTATATATATATATATATATATATATATATATATATATATATATATATATATATATATATATATATATATACTGTATATACAACGGTTACTGATGTCTGGGAATGTAATAAAGTGGATTTTACGCTTCATAAATAAATACCCCCCCCCCCCCAAAGGTGTTGCCCTTTATCTTGCAGTGTTTTTTTAAAATTAAACAGATATTCGGTTTACTGACAAGCGGATATGTTCTGTGGATACGCATGGAAATAGATTGGTTATCATGGAAACAAAATCAAAAACAAATAGTTATGGACAGACTGTTTATAATTGATCAACACATACATAAATCAAACAAAACCACACGAATACACCAATCACTTAACTGAGGTATCCCAAAACAGCCATGTTGATGTCTTGCCAGTGGAATGTCTAACGAGATACAACGAAGAATGCCTGGCAATAAACCTGTGCAATGTATTGTTTATATCCGCATTATTTAATCTATTGACGTTGATGTTCTAACTAACTTCTGTGTTATTTTGTAGAACCGTGCGATTTTGACGGCGTCATTTATTCTCACGGCGAGCAGTTTGAGGTAGGGTGTCGTTACTGCACATGCAACCAGGGTCAAGTTGAATGTACTTACCCTGAAGAGTGCCACGCATTGGAACCAACAGAAGCATGTCCTTTCCCGGCAAGAAGAGATGTTGAGGGTCAGTGCTGCCCTGAGTGGTACTGCGGTAAGTGTAGCTTATAGTTCGTGCAGTGAGGCTTTGTCGTTATGTCTGTCTACAGATTTGTGGATCGTGTAATGCTAGCGCTTTCTGATATAGATGTTATTCTTTAGTATAATGATATATTGTCTATAATTGACACACACTCTCTCTCCATCTCTGTCTCTCTGTCTCTCTCTCTCTCTCTCTCTCTCTCTCTCTCTCTCTCTCTCTCTCTCTCTCTCTGTGTCTTTCTCTTTCTCATCCCTGTCTTCTCTTTGCCTTTCCTGATGTTAATATACACCCCAAAAGTTTTTTAAAAACAAATCTCACGAAGTTTTCAGAAATGTAGATTTGTCCGTTTCTTAGGCAAATAATCACGTGTTTCATCTTTTAAATGCTCTAAGAGTATAAGAACTTGTCGTATAGCGGTTTCGTCGCGCACCTTTACTTCCGGATTATTTTCCCCAAATCCTCAGGTGCTCTGAGATAAGGGTGTTCTGAATGGTGGCTCTCGTTTGTCTAGAGGCCTACCACTCGGTTCAAACATCAATTTAGCCTGTCTCAGGAATGAGGTGACTCAAGCTCTGACTCCTCAGGGTTAATACAAACTCTTGGGTACTACTCAGCCAGACATCCTCATTACAAATTTTGCCCCCAGACTGGTAAACAACGTTAACAGTCAAATATTTAAACAGCAGTGAGTCTGACAAGACATGAATACACTTCCGACAGTGACGAATGATTCCAACGTAACGACTTTTCAAGAATAAGAAACCTTGTGAACAAGAACGATTATGTAATAATTCATTGATACAAAGGAAGACTGAATAAGAACACAGAGAACCAGAATGACGTTTCGAGTCCTCCAAGAATTGAGACTAGAGAAGGGGTCTCCTTAATTTGCCTCAGTCATTTCCTGATTCATCATCGTTCGGAGAGAAGAGACAGATTACAGGAGCGCATCTGGATTCTGGCTGCCAAAGTGTTCCTTAGCTCTAACGACTTATCTGCCCCAGATCCTGCTGCTCCTCTGCGTCGAATAGATAGTCTCTATAACGTCTCGTTTCTCGGAGCGTCTCCGGACGACGATGATCCTCCCCGGGAATCGATCAAGAGACAACCAATCCCTCCTGGAGACGTGTTGACGTCGGCTTCACAAATAGCCTGGCATAGCAGACAAAGGCAGGTCAATACGAGTAGGTTTCTCCCCAGTTGATGGTTAGCTGGAGAACCGGACTACCACACGGACACATGCTGGATCCTCAAACATCCAATGCAAAACGAATAAAGAGAGCAAAAAATGCTTTATTAACGGTCAAGTGGCCACAGAGTTGAAACACACCCAACCGCTTGAACGGACTAAAAAGAAGTGACGTATATATTTCTAGTGCCTAACTACGACAGTTGGGGCGAGAATAATGCTCAAGCACACTGTGAAGCGGTCACACTATTAAGCTTGAACAGGCGCAGAAAATATGTCCTATCATACAAATTGACATCATACGCCAAGAAGTATCAACGCAGGAGCGATTTGTATAGGTTTCTCACAGCTGGACTCCCCAACAACAAACGAACTATATCTCTACGGACGGACTATCCGAGATCATAGATACACCAGTCAATATGGGGGTGTCCAGACTGTGGGCAAGTGTATTGTGGTAGGGGAGTTGATGCTGTTATGCGACAGTACCCATACTGCGAAAAAAAAAAAAGTGAAGAAATATTGTGTGCATTGGCCGGCTTTGTGTTTGCGTTCAGCCTACAAGCGGACGTACTGCAAGCAAATTTTAAACCGGAAATACCGTGATCATCAATTGTACCACAATACCACAATGTAAAATATAAATACATAAAAAAAATAATTAAAACTCCTAATAATCCTGCTCTTTTTTGGGATCCAGATCTGGCAACAGGTTAAATGTATTCAGTAGCACGCAACAGATCATTAGTTTGTTCCTATATTATACTTAGTCATCTCCATGTGAGATGTAATTTTTCGGTAACCTGAAGCCCCACCCTGGCTCTTACCGGGGACCGCAATATAGCTCGGCAATAAATATGGCATAATGGCTGAACAGGACCACTCCACGGGTGATCCTCATCCGCATGTGACACTTTGTGTCATCAAGTGTTTATCGCTTGTGTGTCGGCTCTGTGGCTAAGTCGATGCGAACGCTTCGTAATGACGGGATGCCGGGTTCGATCCCAGCTGTAGGCCATGCGCCTTGCGTTGATTTCGACAGTGGTATCAAGAAAGCCGACCGTTCAGTGGCAATGGCAAACTACTGTGTGTAAATTGCCTAGATAAACCACACAACAGCTAGGGGCTGTTGGGGTTGGTTCTGCAACGTCCTATAAAGGATACCCAACAACCTTAATCGCTTGAGTGATGTCCTAGTGGGGTAAAATGTGCTTCTACTACTACATTAGTTTGTTAAAGTCTGTTGATGCACTTTTCTGAACTTCTTTATACCATGCAATTTTTGAAATAACCCATTATCTGCTTATTCTTTCAATAATTCACGGAAACATAATTATGATGATGGTGATGATGATAATGATGCTAAACATGATGATGATATGACCAACTATATTGATAACAACATTACCATTGTTATCTAATTCTAGCTAATACTTGCCACTATGATAACCGCACCTTGGACCATCTGGAATACTTCACGAGTGAAAATTGCAGTCTGTGCCAGTGCGATACTGCAGACGACATCCACTGTGCTTCTGATCAATGTCCGCCCGTAGAGATGGTCCTGCCTGACGCTGCTTGCCCGGATCCACATATACGTCAAGATGGTTGTTGTGACACCCTGCACTGCCACGATCTAAGTTTAGGTGATTCGCTTTGGTCGTCGTTTATGTGGTTGTGTGTGTTTTCAGTGTCAATGCACTTGTTTATTCGCATGCTTTTGTGTGTGTGTGTGTGTGTGTGAGAATGTGTGTGTGCGAGTGCGTGTGAGTGCGTGTGTGTGTGTGTGCCTGTGCGCGTGGTGTAACAAGAGGTTCTAGGGGACCAAGAGGATCTACCTCTATAATCTGATGATCTGGCGTTCTCCTTTCTGAGCTTTAATAATGTTTTTAAACCAGCTATAATGGCAGACTATTAAAATTTGCCTAGAAAAGCCACAACAATTAAATAATAAAAAAAAAACATGCTGAAGTTAATTTTATAACGTCCTAAAAGGGACACGCTGGTAACATAAACACACACACTACAGGGAACCTCCGTGGTTTTTAGTGTTTCCCAACAACTGAGTATGTGTGTGTGTGTGTGTGTGTCTGTGTGTGTGTATGCGTGCGTGCGTGTGTGTCCCATGCTCCACCTAACCCTTTCGAAAATTCTTAATCACTCCCCCCCCCTCCCCCGGTAACTTAAACTCTGGAAGAGTCCATTTTTAAATTTGCCCCCTCAACAATCAAATTATTCCTCTTGACAATCAAATTACCACCCTTAATAATCAAATTGCTTCCCTTAACAATCAAATTACCCCCTTAAAATGAAATTACCCCTTAAAAATCAAAATGCTTATTAATAATCGAATTACCCCATTAATAATCGAATTACTCCCTTAAAAATCAAATTACCCCCTTATTAATCAAATTACCATCTTAATAATCAAATTACCAACAATCAAATTACCCTTTAACAATCAAATTACCCCTTAACAGTCACATCACCCCCTTAACAATCACATTACCGCCTTGGCAATCACATAACCCTTTAACAATCACATCAACCTTTAACAATCACATAACCCCATTATCAATCACATCAACCCTTAACAATCACATCACCCCCTTAACAATCACATCACCCCCCCCCCCCCCTTTGCAACAATCAAATTGTTCCCTTTTGAAGCATGGTCCCCATGTTCGGAAACGTTGGGTTGGACGCTTGCCTGCGGATTGAAGCCGGATTTTTTTCTCCAGAAAATAAGTTGGCTCAGAGGTTGACTCAGTCTTTAATGTGTACCAGGTACAGTTCTAGAAGGTAAAGGCGGCCATATCACAAACATCTACAATATATAGATTAAGAACTGTATAATGAATAAGCCAAAGGGCGTGGAAGAGATTACTTTTCTCAGCTCCCTTGATAGTTTTACACCCCATCCCATTTCCTACTGAGATTTTCGCAGACCAGTGGCGGAGGGGAGGGAGAGAGAAAGAAAGACAGAGACAGAGGCAAAGTGAGAGAGAGAGAGTGAGTGAGAAAGGATGGGGGAGGGGGGGGGCATAATGAGAGGGAAAAAGAACACACAAACGAATGAGAAAGGTAGAAAAACCGACAAGCAATCAGACTGATTGCTAGATCGACCCACAGTCAGACACATGTGTGTTTTTCATGTACGTAGATTTACATCTATTGACTGATGAATGTGCGATATTTCTTGACTGAAAAATTCTAGTGACCGTGAATGTATCATACACATAGAACGCATTTTACTAATAATTTCTGCACTGTTCACAGACACGGCAGAATTTATGCGGCGCATGTTTGCAATATCCTACAGCCCGGCATCTTTAACCCTGAGTTTTGAAGTGGATCCCCTGTCAGAAATCAATGGCATTCCTCTTTACTGTCAGTATGAAATTCAGTATGCCAACACTTCAGATCCATTTGGTAAGAAATCAGATACTAAAAGTTTCAAAATAACGAACACCAATAATTTGATACCTCTGCAGGGAATATTAGGAAATTATTATACTGCCAGAATAACTGACAAGGATTGCTTGAAAGAAGCTAAGCTAATAAAAAAAAAAAAAAAGATCAATATGTACAACTATATGGAAAAGACAGGAACTGTTCTTCGGTCATATGCTGGGGAGGGGGGGGGGTGAAGGCGGGGGGGGGGAGTGGCCCGGGGTGGGGGGGGGGGGGCTTTGGAGAATATTGTGACAGCTGGTAAAATCAATGGTAGCAGAGGTAGAGGCAGACCGAGAGAGACGATGACAGTAGTACTGAGGGATATCATCAGTGGAACTGATCCAGAGGGCAAATGCCAGAGATTGGGGAGATGCATGAACGCATACACCAGTCGGCAGGGCACGTGATGAGAATAACGACGATGTTGGTGATGATGCACAAAAATGGGGGAGGGGGGGGTGGGGGCAACTAGACTCACATGCCAAATGACCCTACCCCCCCCCCCCCCCCCACTCTTCCAGAAATTGTCCTGGGTAATAAATCTGGCAGGTTTTATGCAAATCACATAATTTAATTCATCCAGTGCCAATAAGTTAAGTTAGTTTCGTATCCTGTGCACGCCATTGCAGAACCAACCCTAGCATTTTTTGGCTGTTGTGGTTTTAACAGGCAAAATTACATGCAGTAATTTGCATCCCGCTCGTGTGGCACCGGGGCCCTCACGGGAAGCAAAGAATAGTGACACTGCACCCTACCAGGCATGTCGTAAGAGATGACTAAGGGTAGGGTTGGGCTTGAGGTTGGCTACCTCATCCTGTAAAAACCATAGCCACAAAAACCAACCAACCATGGATAAGTCAAAAAGAGAAGCAAGTAAAACCCAACCAACGAAGATGAGGGGAGGCTCTTCAAAAAGAAGAAGTATGACACAGTGTGGAGAAAGCCGCAAGGAGTCCGGTTCGTTGACGTACCTCCTCTCAACTAGGAAAACCTCCAGAATTGGCACCTGGAATGTTAAAACTCTCTATGATATAGGGAGAACAATGGAAATAGCAAAGGTAATGAAACATTATAGAATTAGCATTTTAGGGTTATGTGAAACTAGATGGACTGGGGCGGGGAAAAGTATTCTAAATTCAGGGGAAACTATTTTGTTCTCAGGACACAGAGGAAAATTCGCCCAACAGAAAAGGAGTGGCCCTGACGCTATCGAAAGACGCAGACAGGGCACTAAAAGAATGGGAAGCTGTGAGTCCCAGAATAATAAGAGCGTCTTTTAGAACAGTGAAACAGAAGGTGAACATTTCGGTAATACAGCGTTATGCACCAAAAAATGAAAAAGATGCATCTGTTAAGGAAGAATTTTACATGCAGCTTCAAAATATTATAAATAATGAAAGAAAGGGCAATTAAAGAATTTTGATGGGTGACCTGAATGCTAAGATAGGATCAGACAACACAGGTTATGAAGAAATTATGGGAAGACATGGTCTAGGAGTAATGAATGAAAATGGAGAATTGTTCACAAATTTGTGTGCAGGAAACCAGTATTTTATTGGTGGAAGTATTTTTTCGCATAAACGAATACACAAAGCAACATGGGAATCACCAGACCATAAGTCAACTAATCTAATGATCACCTATGTACTAACAAAAAGTTTAGATCATCTCTTTACGATGTTAGGGCTTTCAGAGGTGCCGATGTATTTACTGACCATTTCCTAGTGGTAAGTAAAATCAAGTTGAACCTAAAAAGATATATAACATCTTATAATCATAGAAATCAATATAATGTAGGCTATCTCACGTATAAAGAAGTTAAGGAACAGTTTTCAGTTACAGTCTTTAATAAGTAACAGGTGTTGCAGCAGTTAGCTGAAGATGTCAGCACAAAAGTCTGCTGGGATCAGATCAAAGGAATCTGGAATGAATCTTGCTTAGAAGTTCTTGGCAAGAAAGAAAGGAAACATCAAGCGTCGATAACACCAGAAACCATTAAACTGATTGAAGATAGGAAAGGTAAAAAGGCAGACTTAAATAATAGCAAAACTAGAGCTGCTAAAGCTAGAGCTCAGGATAAATACACGGAAGTCAATAAGGAAGCCTGGAGGCATATAAGGGCAGATAGAGTGAAATATCTAACTGATCTAGCACAAGAAGCAGAGACAGCAGCAGCAAAAGGAAACCTCAGAGAACTTTACAGTAACACAAGAAACTTAGTAGGTAAATAGTCAGCCAACTGGATCAATAAAAGATAATCCAGGAAAGGTACTTACTAACACTAAAGATCAAATGGACAGATGGGTTGAATATTTTGAAATGCTTCTAAATAGACCAGGTCCAGAGGTTCCCCCAGATATCCAGCCTTTAGAAATGGAACTGGATGTCAACTGTGAGATACCATCCAAAGAGGAAATTAGAAAAGCTATCAATTTTCTCAAGGAAGGAAAGGCAGCAGGCCCAGATGGTATCCCAGCTGAAGCCATCAGGGCCAACACAAACACATCAACAGAATTGCTACATAGAGTATTCAGTAAAGTCTGGGAGACTGAAGAAATACCAGCAGACTGGAGAGAAGGATATCTTGGGAAACTGCTCAAAAAAGGTGAAGACCTGCAAACACTGGATGTCACCAACTGGAAAGTGAGGGTCAACCAGAGAGATGAATGGAGGTGGGTGACATCTGCAGCAATGAACCTCAAGGGCTCGGAATGCTGAAGAAGAAGAAGAAGACAAGACAACATAAATAAAAAAGCAACATGTTTAAGCCAGTGGCGTATTGAACATATTATACGAGACACGTAACTTATAAACCAGTCGGCGGCGGTGAATGATGTATACATAAATCACTGAACAGAGAGCTAGAGAAGTAGAGTACTGAACACAATGCCGAAATCGTTAATTCATTCATAATTATTTTTGCCACCACCCATCGATTTCTCTGGAACTTCTTTTTCTTCTTTTTCTTCAGCATTCTGAGCCCTTGAGGTTCATTGATGCAGATATCACCCGCCTCCAATCATATCTCTGGTTAGCCTTCTCTTTCCAATTGGTAACACACTTTATTTATCCTTTTACCACTTAACAGCGACAGTGGACAGTCATGATGGTACTTTATTCTATGAGTGTACATCAGTTCTTCTTTCTTCTGTGTTTACTCTGTGGATGTAATTAACCACAGAAAGCCGTAACAGATAAAACGGAAGTTGAGTTAAAGGATGGAAGCAAGCGATGGATAGATAAATATCAGAAGCCGTGTATACAGACATCTCCGTATCACACCAAGGCTAGCACCAGATATAGACAAAACAGGATCAAGATAGACAAAGAAGATGAAAGAACAAATTAATCATTACTTATGCAATAATTTTTTTCAAGCATTATTAAACATTGCTTATTTTTATTTTCTCATTTAGTGACGTGGCATCGCCGCCTTGTTCAGCCTATAGACGTCCGCCTCAACAATGACCAGCCAGACCAGTTGGCCCCCACAGAAGCTCTCACCCGGGACAATGCCATAGTAGTTGGTGACAGAGCCTATGTGACCCTATCAGGAATGCACCCTAACACAACATACTACGTTAAGATCATCCCTCTAGATGTCACATGGGATGACTTGGCTGTACCTTCATCTGGCAAGTCTATCTATAACGAAAGTCGAGTTTCGGCCATGGTTGTAGTCAAGACGATGTCACTGGACAATGGTATGCATTTAGCAGTCTGATATATAGATTCGTCTTCTTGTTGGAGTGGGAGTCGCCGTGGCGTTGGCGGCTAGACGCCGGCTTGACGATCGGAAGGTCCTGGGTTCACGTTCCGACGGAGCCAGACTTTTTTTTCAAAAATGACCGTGACTCCCATGTCGACCCAGCCTTGAGTGGGTACCAGGTGCAGTCCTGGAAAGTAAAGTTGGCTGGCCTGATGCTGACCAAATCACCCACCAAGTGCCGATTGGTCTATAAAAATATAGGTCTAGCCCTATATGCCATATACGCCTAAAGGCGTGGAAAAGGGTCCTTTAATTTTTTTTAAAATCTATTTCCATATCACCTCTAAAAGTTTCTTGTTGCAATCAGTGGCGGAGAATAGTAGTGACTGTAGTCAAGTTGAAATCAAGTAATAAAGTAAAGAAATCTTTTGAACGCCAGGTGGCTATTGTGCCAATCTTCGCACGCTGTATTATGTGGTCAATAGCATACCTGTCGCATTTACTTCCTATGACTCTATCTGGTAATGTTTGGAAAAAATCCCGCTCCATTAAGATTTGAACCCCCGACCTTCCGAACCTTAGGGGAACGTCTAGCCGCTACTCTACGGCCGCTCTGTTGAGCATTCAACTCACAACTGGTGTTGCATTTTATATTTCTTGGTATATGTCTCATTGTGGTCTGAAGAGAACGGTGATAGAGGGTGTAGTTTCTGGAAAACGATTCAGAGACCGACCTACGCGAAGGTGGATACAGGACATTAAAAATACATTGGCTATGAAATCACATATCGCTGGAGATCTGGCTAGAGAAATAGAACTTAAGGCGTGCCCTGAACAGAGCGACGTTCTGTAAATCAATCAAGTAACAGAAAGTGTATTGATTGGCACTTATAGAAAAAAAATAGAAAGATAGAAGAACACACTAGACAACATAAAAATCAAAAGCTATAGTTACCGTGCCGAGAATTGAATCTGTCACCTCAAGACGGCGTCTGCGCCTCGCCATGGATACAAGTGCACTAAGAATATGGTCAACTAGGCACCTCCAATAAAAGGTACCTTACTGGCTATGTCTATCGTACAGCTTGAAATGGAATACTTGAACTATGGAATACGGACATAATTCATTTCAAACCATTGAAATGGCACAATAAGTTACATAAATTTATATTAACGAAGTAAATGTCGAATAACAATCACAGCAACAATTTACGAGCACAGTAAACCGTAATGCTTTGTCTAGAATACACAAACATTTAAGAAAATTATTTGATTGTTAGGTACCGGTGTGTATACATAGGAATGACGTTCTATAAAGGACCAGCGGACTGATTGATTGATTGACTGATGTATGTCAGGAGCACTGCCAATCTGGTTTGATGAAGATGTTTCTCTAGCCTAGAGGGATTACTGTCTTGACATCTTTTTTTAAAAAAATCATTCCTGCCTCTTTTATCTTCAAGGTTTCCGTTGCCACCAGATAATCTAGTTTTCCCCACAAATAAATAAAAAAAAAACAGATGGGGAACCCTTTAGGCCGTTAACTATAACTTTCGATTTTTATGTTGTCTAGTGTGTTCTTCTGTCTTTCTACTTCTTTCTATTAGTGCCGATCAAAATATTTTCGGTTACTTTATTATTATATAGTTTTTGTTAAAATGTAATTGCACAGGAGAAGTAGTGTTAATCAGCTTCACCATACCCCCTAATATGAATGATTTTGGGGTGTATTTCTAAATGTTGAATAGTTTTGTTAATATATTCTTCTTACCGAAATTAAAATTTTTGTAATAATTTATGACACTTAAATTTCAATTCACCCTTAAGAAAGGAAATCTGGGAGTTCCCGGAATAGTCCAAACACATCACGTGACATCAGTGTTGTGTGTGTGTGTGTGTGTGTGTGTGTGTGTGTGTGTATGCAGTTTATCGAGGTTTTCTTTATGTAATGTGTGTTTTGCTAACTCTAAACTCTAACCTTTATCCTACACCATAACACTAAGCTAACCTGGATACATGCAAAATACAACTACCATAAATATAGCTATCACGTTTGTTGGAGTGAATTAAAATTTAAATACCTAGTTTATTTTCAGTTCCATGTTCTATTTCTTTATTTATAGTGACTTCTTGCTTCCATAACGGCAAGGAAATATTGCACGGACAGTATGTGCGCAGTCAGTGCAACCAGACATGCATATGTATTGTTGGCAAGGTTGTATGTCAAAGTGCATGCTGGGCAGACCGTGTGGTCATGGCTACATCACCGACCTGTCCTCGGCCTCGCCTAGTAAAACAGGAAGGACAGTGTTGTCCCGAGTGGACATGTAGTCCTTCGGGTAAGTTTGTGGATGTGTTTCTATGCAATTAAAGCTGTATTACAAACATTATTTGAATACATATTCATTATAGAACCCCTTTAAGATTATCATTTGAAGTGCCTTATTTTAGTAAATATAATAACTTAGAAAATGAGACACATAAAATGTTAACAATTACTTTAAAAGGAACATGTAACGAACTCTGGCCCACTTACACACTTATGAGAGACGAAGTCGGGCCAGGACACTAAGACTGGACGTTCATTCATGTGTCTTAACCTTTGGGACGCGCAAGTTTAAGTGGCAGGGGTGTCAGCTTGGCGCACCAGGTTGTGTTCTGTCGACGGTCTTACCGGCGACGCTGCGTGCTCTACACTAGAAAATGTGAGTGCTTTCAATGACCCCATAACATGTATAACTGGCCCTAACCCCAAACCGCCTAACCAACTTACTGAATTAAGGTACCACGACAGAGTGCATTCTACTTCCTTTGGTTTCCGACTTCTCAACATTTTGCGGTGACCCGCAAAACACTATGTTGCTGCAGACTGTACCCTCGTCTTCGCCCACCACTGCTCACAGCTGGAATAAACTCATTTCCTACTGAAAATCCTAGACGTCTGGCATATACCCACCAACAAACACTAAATCTGCTTAAGAGTGAGAAAGCAATTTGGGAGGCGCTGTTCACAGAAGAACGATTAACTCACAACGCAGAAAGCTTTGTAAATGCAACAGTACACTTAGAAACCCCTCTAACCTTGAGCATCTTTGACCACCCTGACCAAGCATCAATGAAAAATCAGCTATTGTGTAGATAGGTTAGAGTTCATTACTAGTAATCTTTACAAATATATTAAACATGTTTGCTACCTCCAGTAAAAAGATCATAGGTTTGGCCGGTTGGCATTTTAATGGGCTTAGTAGAAGATTTGCATCGCACCACAGATTTCATAATGGCTAGTGGCCTTTTCATCCGAAAACTACTGTTAGGAAGAAAGATAAAATGGAAGACAACATTAGAACTTCACATATAGGTTCCGGGCCCTATCTGGGAGGGGGAGGGGGAATTAGATTGGGGGGTGACGGAGGTGGGAAACAAAGGAACAGATCAACTGCTTTATTCCTGCTCAACAAGCATGTCGAGACGGTGAGCAATAAAGAGTTTTCTGAAATTTAACATAATTTCTGAAAGAGGCAGATATCGCAGCCTGCAAACCTTTAATGTCGACAGCAGGTTACAAAGTGAAGAAAATAAATTTTTGTCTTCACGTTTTCATTGCCAAAAATAGAGAGACAGTTTAATATTAACAAGTATTGTGTAACTATTACAGCAACAGGTTGTCTTCACGGGGGTTTCATCATGGAGTCTGGGCAGTCAGTGACAGAAGACTGCCAACTGTGCACATGTTCTAACGGTACTGTGGCATGTAGCAGCATATGTCCTCCAACAGAATTGCCACCAAGATCAGGATGCCAGTTGGTCAACATTTCAGGACACTGTTGTCCTCAGTGGCAGTGTCAACTTGGTTAGTCTTGTTGTTATGTTGACTGTTTTGAATTTATGTACATTTATCCAGTCGAAAAGAAAATGTATAAAGACTTTCCCTGTGTGGGTTCCGGGGCCCAGTTGTGGGGAAAACAAGAACAGATCCACTGCCTTCCAAGCAAGAATGGCGACTAACTGGGGACTTCCTTCGAAGTCTGAGTGCATCTGCCCGAGCGGCAAGGAACAACCAACTATACACAAATAAGTCAGTAAGACAGATGTACACGCAAAACTCAGGCCCTGGCACAAAGCCAAGCTCCAAATAGATGAACAACCAGGACTTTCCGCCGGAGCTTACAGCCGGTGAACAAAGAAGTGGAAGATATAAAGCCCTAACGTTTCAAATAGTTCGATTACTAAGTTTACCCAGGGGTCATAATTATGAAAATGGACATAGTCACAGGCTAAAGGACAGATTAAACCTGTCTGTCTGTCTGTCTGTCGGTCGGTCGGTCGGTCGGTCGGTCGGTCGGTCGGTCGGTCGGTCGGTCGGTCGGTCGGTCGGTCGGTCTGTCTGTCTGTCTGTCGGTCTGTATGTCTGTCTGTCTGTCTGACTGCCTGCCTGCCTGCCTGCCTGTCTGAATGCATTTTGTATATAGTTTTGTGTGTGGGTAAATTGGTAGGTAGATTTGTATGTATGCGTGCGCTTTTATACAAAATTAAAAATATACTAAATATTTATAATTACAGAATCGCACCTGCCATATGGAATCAAATCGTCTGTTCTCATACATTTCCACGGAAGTTGTCTTGCATATACTATTAATGTTCTGAAAGAAATGAAACAAAAGCTCTTCAGTCATGTTACCAGTCGAATGGGATGTCCAAGCAACTCGTCACACTTTGGCAACTTCTGTAACACTGTACAAGTTCAAATCCTGTGTCCGGGCACATTTGATGATATCCACACCTACAGGAAACGAAGATCAGCACATAAAGATAGTGACGATCAGAAACTGCCTGTTGTCATATCCATACATATGAATTTTAGGTGAGTGAGTTTACATTAGCATACATTTGACTGTAAACAAGTACAATACTGCGATAATACTGGAAGAATACAGATAAGTTTTTAACTTCTTAAAAAATTCGTTATTCTTGTTTTACGTGGCGCGAAAAGATTAAGAAAGCAGGGTCGGCGCTGCGTTTTCGACTGTGGCCCCCCCCCCCCACCCTTTACCCTTTGTTTAGTGTGTTATTTTGGATATGTGCGCACAACATCCGAACACCTTGTATCTGGGTAAAAACTGGGCAAAGTTAAGTTCCATACAGGCCCGTGCTGTGATATGTTACAGAGACATGGCCGCATCATAAGGCATAGTAAGGCGGCGGGATAAGCAGCAAAATAAAAATACTGTTTGAACTGTTAAGGGGATGCATTTCGAAGAATTGCATTATACTGGGAAAATATACCGCACGGCGCTAATTCCATATAAAGACTTTTAAATACTTTTTCGTGAACTGGGGGGATGGCTACCGACAGTGGGCTTAAGAATTATACAACGTACACGTTTGTATAGAATATGAATCATAATATTATGCAATTTGAACAAAGAAGACACAAAATAATACCTTGCACAATTTATTGCCTGTCATATTTCGCTGTATCTCGTCAGGTGCATACTACAGTAACGATTAATTAAAATGAATGAAATAAGTGAATAATTCGAAATGAAACACAAAAACGGCTATATTTTTTAAAACTGTCTGTTTCACAGGGTAAATGCAAGTTGAAGAGCATGTCCTTTTGTCTGCATAATTCGGGACTAAGCCGGTTCATAGCGCAAATTTCAACAAACTACGGTTGGCTGAAGTGAAAATAATTCGAAATGTGAAAACAGGTGGCGGTGTCACAATCCTGCTGTGCCTATGCACGAGCAGACAGTGACTGTTGGTGACCTTTCGGCTTTTTTTTTTTTTTTCATTTCTGGTAGATCTTTGCACGGCCTTCTCTATTTAGAGACGGCGTTGATCCTGGTTGTCAACTAGTAAATAAGAAGGACAGGGTGTCGTCTTTCCAATTGTATGCTCATTTCTTGAAGGCAACAGTTGTTGGAAGACTTTCAGTTACTACAGCTCTCATTAGGACATCCTTTTGAACTACTTTCAGGGTCACGAGAGATGATGGAATTTGAGAATGACTAAAATACAAAAAATTTATTTGCAGATGTATTCATTTAAAGTTAGAGTGCATTAAATTTTAATGCTTTCATTTACATAGGGTAGAATGACTAGTTTCTTATCAGGTTTGATAAGCCTCCTCTGAAAAGACTATATAAAGGAATTGAAGGTGCGAGACGTGGTTTCTAATTAGGCCAGTGTTTCCAAACCTTTTTTTTGTGTGTGCGGATGCCATGCCCCACCTAAGCATTTCTAAAATCTCTCCCCTCCCCATCACATGTAACGTAAATTATGGACGTATTATTATAAAATGAAATCGTTTGGCTTAAAGGTTTGAAATGCTGGAGAATTTACAATGTTAGGAACATAGCTTGGCAGATGGACAAACTGCTGAATGCCCCCCCCCCCCCCCACAGAATAACATAAACAAACATCAGTAGTTGAATTTAATTAGGAAAACGGAGAACATCTGTTCTGATGAGATATGATGGTATATCTGTTATTATGAGATATGATGGTATATCTGTTATTATGAGATATGATGGTATATCTGTTATTATGAGATATGATGGTATATCTGTTATTATGAGATATGATGGTATATCTGTTTTATGAGATATGATGGTATATCTGTTATTATAAGATATGATGGTAAATGCTGTTCAGAGCGATCTTTGATGATGAACTAGAATTCCAGAAGTCAATTCACAATACTTAATGATGATATAGACCACTGGTCTGCAACCTGGGGACATAGCCTCCCTTACCCCTCACACCCAGTAGGAGCACGAGGAGGTTTTAGGGACGTCAAGCAATTTAGAAATTCAGTACATTTTTATTTGTAAAAATCTATGATTTTTTGGGGGTGGGGGAAGGGGGGTGGGGGGGGGGGGGGTTGTTTTGTTTAATCATAAATGAAATTTTAAAATAGTTTTAAAACGATTGATAAGGCAAAATGTCAAGTACATTTTTGTTTGCTTTACAAGCACTTTGTATATCTATAGTCAAAAAATCTAATCAATAGGACAGGCATTTAATTATTGGATTATAGATTAAAAACACATTCTGACCAAACCGTGTCTCCATACTGTCTGTTTCACTTGTTGCAAAATCTGTTGTCCTAATTTTTAACCAAATTGTGGTATGTTGAGGGAGAGTGTAGGTGTGGGGGTGTAAGTCTTTAAATATTCTCGGGGGGGGGGGGGGGGGCTAAGGTCTTTGATTCTCACTCCTAAGATTTCCCGTGTGGCTTTCGGGAACAAATGTGAGAAAAACAAGAGAAGACCCATTTCTTCAACGACAAGAATATTTTGGCAGTTTAATAATTGGGGCGCTTTATTCGGAGTCGGAGTGCATCTAGCTAGAGTAAAGGAATGAATAGTCTACATACAAGTAAGCCATATCTGCAAGCGAGGTGTGCACAGAACATTCAGTCCACAACTTTTGAGAACGCGAAGAAGAAGAAGAAACCTACCAATGATAACTCTAAATTTTGCAATTTATGAAGGATATACATAAAGCATATTTTGTTCTCTGCGTCTTGATTTTTTTTCTCTAATATCCTTTTATTCTAAGCTGTATTATTGCTTATAAATGGGCTTAGTTGGTTATTTGTTGATACTTCAGTTCCACAGTTCCTGACGTTTTGATAGTCCACCGGGTGAAATCAGCAGGTCTACAACTGTTGCATTTATTGAACACCAGCTTTTCCATTGTGTTAGACAGTGGTCAAGCCATGTCATCACTGGAAGGAGCCAAGTTTGAGGGGGAATCATTCATCTGTGAATCTGGCTTCTCATTTGTCAAGGACATGTGTGGTAGGTACATTCTGAGACATGTGTGGTAGGTACATTCTGAGACATGTGTGGTAGGTACATTCTGAGACATGTGTGGTAGGTACATTCTGATACATATGTGGTAGGTACATTCTGAGACATGTGTGGTAGGTACATTCTGAGACATGTGTGGTAGGTACATTCTGATACATGTGTGGTAGGTACATTCTGATACATATGTGGTAGGTACATTGTGAGACATGTGTGGTAGGTACATTCTGAGACATGTGTGGTAGGTACATTCTGATACATGTGTTGTAGGTACATTCTGATACATGTGTGGTAGGTACATTCTGATACATGTGTGGTAGGTACATTCTGAGACATGTGTGGTAGGTACATTCTGATACATATGTGGTAGGCACATTCGTCATGTTCTGTGGGTGGGTTTGCCATCAGCACTGAGACGTCCAACCTTACAGTGTCAAACCTCTAGCTTCTGTTGGTCTGCCATCAGCACTGTGACTTTTCAGCCTTAAGGTGTAAAACCTTCAGGTTCTGTGGGTCTGCCATCAGAATTGAGACATTTTGGTTTTACGGTGTCAAACCTCTAGGTTCTGTTGGGCTGCCATCAGCACTTAGACTTTTCAGCTTGGCGGTGTCAAACCCTTAGGTTCTGTTGGTCTTTAATCTATATTGAGATCTTTTTATATTATGGTGTCAAATCTTTCAGGCAACAGCTCAGAGGGGATAAACGGTTCGCAGGCACTCTGAAAAGTAAGACAACTGGGCAAATTCAAAAACTTGAAGATAAATTGATGAAGATAGCTAGAGAAGATCCTTGACAACAAAAGGGAAAGGTGTCAGTATATGAAGTCACACAAGAAAGAGAGAGTGACGGATGATCCTGTCACTATACTCAACAAGGCTATTCTTCTTCTGCGTTCATCCGAAGATGTAATTGCGTTGTGTCCGTTTACAGCATGGCTGCGATATTTGCACCTTTCGGCCAACACATCCGACTTCTGCGGGCATTTGTTGACCGGGTTAGCCTTCCCGGTCAATAGGGAAATTAATGATGATGATGACGAAATATCTTAGAGTCGGAAGATATTCTTCCTGTGTAGGTTTCTGAGCTCTATTTTGGACACAAATGCAGAGACCTACTTCCTCTGACAAGCATGTCATAGGAGGCAACAAATTAGGGTGGTTCCTTCAAAGTCGGAGTATATCAGCCTGAGAGTCAAGGAACCAACAGTCTGCATAAAATGAGTCAGATCAGTAAAATGGATGCTCACGCAAAACTCGTTCTGATCAAGTTCTGGATCAAGACCAAAGTTCAAGAGTGGACGAACAACCAGAACTTTTCGCAAGTATTTCCGGCCAGAGATAAAATGAAGAATACTTTATTATAATATGCTCATGACAACAACTCATAATTTACATATTATTAGCGTTGTCAATTATATTTGTCCATCTGTAAAGGAATTGTTAACATGTTACACTTATCTATAAAGGAAATTATATCGCATTATAATTATTTACCTTGACTCCCAGGTCGCTCAGTCCTAAAATAGGTACTAAAGAATGTCCTAAAAAGTATAGGCTTTCTGTCTTATTTTGAACACATCACCCATCCAGTTCCCATTGGTTCAATAAAAGTTGTCTCAAGGTGTCCTCCTTGAGTGCTAGATCTTCTGGGTTCAATGCCCGGTTAGGGCGGGATTTGTTCACGTCAATCAATTGCTTCTAGGAATTCCTCGTGGTCTCTGGGTAGTGAGATCGGACGCTCTTGTGCATTGGTGCGCACTTAAAAAAAATCCCTTGGCAGCTGGAAATTGAAAAGAGAAGCCTAAAGGCGCTGCCTAGTCAAAATTTGGAGTTAAAAATCGACCCAAAGTATTTCAGGATCCTCGCCGGTGCTACAGAGCCTGTGCACTGTTCTGAGCTTCTTCGGACTCAGACTTGAGTTGAAAGAAGAACGGGGCACTTATGGGTTACACCCGCGTACCATGAAGTTGAACCGTTGTTCAAAACATCAAAAACCTCATAAAATTTTTTTGGTTCTAGCACCAACTGCCTAATTGGCCGATAGGTACACGGGTCCTGTTAAAAACATATTTTTCTTCTACAGTAATGAAAATGAGGATAATTGTTAATGTTAAGCATCGTGAATTTCCCATCTAGTTCTATCAGAGATTGAGTCGAGCCTTTCCTTCAAGCCAAACGTTCAACTGACGCCAGTGCAGATCACCACCAGCTCAGTCATATTAGAGTGGCCTCAGCTTGGCGATGACTTTAAAAAGCTAATCACTGGAATTCTGGTAGGCTTGTGTATAATTAACTTTGTTGTTTATCCTTACACATTTAGCTAACCAGATCAGCTATTGTTAACCGGTAGTGGTTTTGTGTTAAGTAGTTTGACATTGCTTACAGAAGGGTTCAACGCTCAAATCATCGTCGAATTATCGCAATGCGGTCTGCTGCAAAATTTTCAGCTGCTCATTTCGACCTCAGTGTGTCAGAATTATCAAACTATGCATGCAATTCTTAAGTCAAATCATCATAATAAGGATAATGATGATAAAGATCATCATCATCATTATTATCATCCCTATCATCATCATGATCATGATGATAAAGATCATCATCATCATTATTATCATCCCTATCATCATCATGATCACCATCATCATCCTGCCTCTACTCAACCTGCGATCTTCAATAGCATTTATCAGTTCGTGTGCTGATACCCCTCTATGCCATGATTAAAAGGTTGTCAAGAGTCTTCTCTTGTTCTCTTACTCTGTCTCTCCCCCCCTCTCCTCTCCCTCGCCACAAGATGTTTCAAGTGATCACAACACGTTCCAGCTTCCTTCTTCTCAAAACATGACACAAACATGATGCCCGTCTCTTTCTGTTGTTTGTGATAAGTTGTTTTCAAGCCCTCGCTTCTTTCAGTATTGAATTGAAACAATATATATATATATATATGACAGCTTCAGCCTGCCACTGTGGCTTGGCTTTAACTGCGTCCTTGTTTCTGTTGTGTATTTAGGTTGATCCTTTTGGCGTGAGGTTGTTCACATATCTTTGTTCGACTATCTTCTTCCGACTAGTGCCTTTTGGTTTCTGCGCTTTCTTCCGCAGTTTTTGCTGGTTTGCATGCGTGCGGTCACTAATTGTGCCTGGGCCATCACCTGTTACACCACCTCAAAGCCGACAAGTCTGCCACCGAGCGAGCCCCAAACAAGGCCCTTTTCAGGAACCCCATATAACATCTTTTTGTTGCCTTTAATACTTATCGGTTCCACTTTTATTGTCTGTCCGGCGAATTCTTAGAGTTGTTCTGTAAAATCACATTTCCGAGGCCTCAAGAAATCATTTGGTTTGTTTTGTATGACTAGGATTTACAGCCTTACGTTAAAACTCGCCGTAAACAACATCCAAGTATGCCTTTTGTTTCCTAACCTCCAGTGACATGGATTTGTTATATAAAATGTTCTTCATTTCACAAAATGTAATTTAAGCCTGTCTTTTTGTTATCCCACTGACACACCTTCCATCGGATGTTAACCGTGTGTTTAAACACTACATTTATGCACTCCTGAAGGAAGGAATATGTCTTGAAAGAAACTGACTAACGAAAAGAAATGATTGCCCACATCAGAAAGAGGCAATCGACATTCTTTAAACATGTAATGAGAAGGAGAAAACTTGAGTACATTCTGACAGTAAGAAAGTTGGATGGGAGTAGAGGCAGAGGGAGACCGAGAGAAAAGATGCTGGACAGTTTGACATCATAGCATGGAGGATCATCTGTGTCAGAGTTGACTGAAAGTACACGAGGCAAAAGGTTGTGGATAGACATGAAGAACGACACATGGTATGGACTTTAAGAAGAAGAAGAAAATAGCTTGTAACTTTTATTGAACATTCACTTATCATGCTGTTGTGCCAATATATGCTCATATGTCACATAGGACTCGCAGTCTATTCCTCTATTCCTTTCTAGCCTGTGCAATCAATCATTTCATTATCAAAGATGGAATTCAGTCCAGCAGCTTTGGCCTCTCTCATCAACGTTCGTCTTAGAGTTTCTTTTGGGAGTCCTTGCCTCATTAATCCTTTTATTTCTAATTGTAATGCCTGTTTGGTGATTCTGTGCTGGTTTCTTCTCAGGATTTGTCCAACGTAGCACCATCTTCTCTATCCATACCTGTTGAAATAGTGGTAGCTAAAACATTTCTCTTATTTCTTTACTCCTCTCCAATTCAACTCAGTTTAATTTTTAAACATTAAAGCAGGTACTATTCCTTTTGTGTGTGTTGATATTCACTTTTATCATATACGCCGACCTTTTATTTTCCAATGATTAAACAGTCTTCTTTTTTTTTTCTTATATGCCATGTCATGTAGCGATGGTGGTCATGTCAGTTCATGGATTGCTGTCTCATGTACTGTCAATCATTTCTTAATGGTCGTTCTTATCTGCCGTAATGTCAAACCGCCCATCATCCATCTTTTGGTCTAAAATGTCATTCTTCGGCTGTAACTTTTCTGTTTTCAGGACATACTACAATTTCGTTTTCTCGTCAAGCAATCAGGTGCGGCATTTTCATTGAATTTTGGCTGCAACGAATCTCCTATACGTTACGTCTCTTGTCTTGGTTGTACATTTTCTTCTTCGTCCATCTCTTTATGTTGACCCCTGTCTTGTATCGTTGTTCGCCACTTGCTGTCTTACCCTCGACTCAAATCGTTTTCATTCCCAGTCTATAAAGAACCTCTAAATGTGATTGTTTTTGTTTCCACGAAGTACGACATATTCTTCTATATGTCCACATTTCCAAAGACTCAATTTGATTATCTAGTCACCTGTTGATTGTTCAAATTTCAGAACCATACAGCAGGGCTGAGTATACATTTACATTTGAAGATTCCCATTTTTAATGTTATGTTTATCTTTCTAGATCTCAATAATTGTCATATCTTATTGAAGATAGTTTTAATCATTCCTATTCTCTTTTCTGTTTCACTTCTGCCATTATCTGTTTTCCTGACATGACTAAACAATGTAGGTAATGGGTATTTAAATTATTCGACTTTCGAAACGAAGAGAGTGAGCGTTAATGACGTATCCAGAATGAAATGTCTTCTTTGTTATTTCTGCAAACAGCAATGCAGTAGGTTCTTCTTTGCATCACGTATGTGGTCTTTAAAATAACTTTATGATTTGTATAGATAAGACATATGCTCAGGTTTTATATATTTTATATTTATCTGTCTTCTAATTCACTACCAATACCTTATAATTATACATTTTTGTATTTTATACAAACCCTCTTATCAGTGGCAACTTTTGCATTTAAAGTTTTTCGAAATCAAAATTTTATCCGAACAGATCGAACACAGGAAGGTGGGAGATGTTCAATGGTTTCTCAGCAGTATGCTGGATTCTACAGTAACATCATTTACCTTGACATCATTGGCTTCTGACTCAGAATTCTCTGCTCAGCTGGTAGCATTCACGACATGGCCTGGGAAGAGGAGGTGGAAGATTGGAGAGACATATTTCAAGACGACACCTGCTTCTGGTAAACAAATGTGTCTTTTTACTTGTGTAAACATTTATGCACACATACATACACAGACATAGCACACATATGCACATACACAACGTTAATCATCAAAATTCTAACAAATATTAAAGCATCTTAAACAACCAGAAGACTCCCAAAAATAACAATAAATCTGTCATTTTGGACAGTCAAGATAGACTGCGGCGAAATGTCAACACTTCCTGCCCCCCCCCCCCCGCCCTCTCTCTCTCTCTCTCTCTCTCTCTCTCTCTCTCTCTCTCTCTCTCTCTCTCTCTCTCTCTCTCTCTCTCTCTCTCTCTCTTGTTGTAACGCATGAAAGTTTAAGCATCTTCTGAAACTATTCCTCCTATTTAATTAACCGTCTCAACCATGCTCGCTTACATTCAACTTCTCCTCCCGTTAAGGTATTTATAAAGTGTGAATCATTTGAGATGGCCAAAGCATTTCATGTGTCTCTTTTTGTAATTTTGTTTGTTTGTAATAAGTCCCATTTCTTTTCAAAGTTTTACAAATTGGTGTATATATTTATTCACATTTCTAAGATAGTCTGTGAAAGAACTGTTTAAAACACCGTATAGTAAAAATATAACAAAATATTGATAAATACGGTTGGTCAGCATTACTGTTTTGCAACTATAGGTTATGCAATAAATGATGAATAATTTTAGGAATATTTGGTGTATGGCTTTTCAAGAAATTAATTAGGGCATCCCAACCTATAACTGTAAATTAAGGGACCCCTTTCCACACCATCAGGCTTATTGTGCATATAAGACTAGACCTATATATTTTTGAATAATCGGCACTTGGTTGGGGATGAATTCAACATCAAGCTGGCTGCCTTTACTTCCCAGGACTTCACCTAATGCCTATTCAAGGCTGTGTCGACCTGGAGCAAAAGTCGTTTTTTTTTAAAAGAATCTAGCTCCATCAGGACCTGAATCCACGACTTACGGATCCTAAAGTGAGCTTCTAGCCGATACACCATAGCCACTTTGTCCCAACACATCATGGCACTGGAAAATGTCCTGGGTAATAAACGCAGCTGGGAACGATACTGACAGCTGCACCTGTGAAAAATAAATTATGGGAACAGGAAACCATGAGTATGTTGCATGGATAGTGGGAAAAATGAGAAAAGATAAAACTGTAGCGTATAGATTAAGGGTAAATTGTGCGATAAGCGACTAACAATGAGAGTTACTTCCCTTCCCATTAATGCCCCGATGTGGTTTAGCGCCTGCACTATGTCGCAGGGTTTTCAGGTAAAGCGAATCGTATTTTACTTCTTATTGTCAGTTGCCGGCGATATGTTCAAAACATGTACAACTTCTCCAACGCTTCCTACTCAGAAGCCTCAGCCTTAGTTCCACGACTGTATGCAGCCCCTAATATACGCTGCATACATTCATGCGGCTTAGGATGCATCCCTGCGACATAGTACAGGCCCTACATCAGATCGAGGCATTCCTGGGAAGGGAAGTCACTCTCATTATAAGCCACCTAATGTGATTAAAACCGAAAAGCATATAAGAATAAGCACTTTAAGAACATCCTATGGACACACGGGTCCAGACAATCACATGCTCTAATCGTAGAAGACTTGTTAACACGAGCGGGTCTTACCAGTCATGCTCGCCTTTACCATGTACTGTGATTTTGATGTTTTTCTATAATACAGTATATAACTACCGTCTGACGAGATGAAAAATTGGTGATTAAAAAAAAAAATCTAATGAAGATTTCCTTTAAAAATTGTAGGGATATTAGCATTAAAAACAAAATGCCACAATGCTTGAAATATTACCCGTTATCTATTCTTCTTCTTCTTCTTCTTCTTCTTCTTCTTCTTCTTCTTCTTCTTCTTCTTCTTCTTCTTCTTCTTCTTCTTCTTCTTCTTCTTCTTTCTTCTTCTCTTCTTCTTTCTTCTTCTTCTTCTTCTTCTTTTTCTTCTTCTTCTTCTTCTTCTTCTTCTTCTTCTTCTTCTTCTTCTTCTTCTTCTTCTTCTTCTTCTTCTTCTTCTTCTTCTTCTTCTTCTTCTTCTTCTTCTTCTTCTTCTTCTTCTTCTTCTTCTTCTTCTTCTCTTCTTCTTCTTCTTCTTCTTCTTCTTCTTCTTCTTCTTCTTCTTCTTCTTCTTCTTCTTCTTCTTCTTCTTCTTCTTCTTCTTCTTCTTCTTCTTCTTCTTCTTCTTCTTCTTCTTCTTCTTCTTCTTCTTCTTCTTCTTCTTCTTCTTCTTCTTCTTCTTCTTCTTCTTCTTCTTCTTCTTCTTCTTCTTCTTCTTCTTCTTCTTCTTCTTCTTCTTCTTTCTTCTTCTTCTTCTTCTTCTTCTTCTTCTTCTTCTTCTTCTTCTTCTTCTTCTTCTTCTTCTTCTTCTTCTTCTTCTTCTTCTTCTTCTTCTTCTTCTTCTTCTTCTTCTTCTTCTTCTTCTTCTTCTTCTTCTTCTTCTTCTTCTTCTTCTTCTTCTTCTTCTTCTTCTTAATCTTTTTCTTCTTTTGTTCGGTTGAAATGGATTACTTATATCTACGATAGTGTCTACACAAGGGAGATGAATGGTCATAGACCACGAGGCGGACCAAGAAGACGATGGAGAGATAATGTCCAGAGAGACCTGCAGACACTTGTTACCAAATGGAAAAAGAAGGCCTACCAGAGAGGTCAGTGGAGGCGGGTGATATCTGCAGCAATGAACCTCAAGCGCTGGGAACTAAGAAGGAAAATTAACATATACTTTCTCTTTTGCTTCCTACAGCCCAAGCATCACCAAAGGTTTCACTGACTGATGTAGCAGTGGGGGAAACAACCGCAGCCTTCTTCTGGGATCACCTTGCTGTCCAGTATCAGCCGATTTCAGTGACTATCTTGTACAAACAATCACACCAAGACAGTTACCAGACAATGTAAGAAACCATTTATTATCTTTTTGATACGGTGTAATTCAATACAATTTGTAGTGTTTATTACATATTTGTAAATGAGAAAGAAAGAAGCAGCAATCTGATACTCGCCATTCACTGCTGATAGAGACTAAGCACATACAGTAAAACTGTAGACTACCGTCCACGTGAAAACTGCGTTAGCAAAGCGATTGTCGGAGGCAAAAATAACTTCAAAGCTTAACATTCGGCATGCCTATCTTCTGTTTTAGACCGATTGTGTCTTTTATGTCTGTGATCATCTTCGTGCTAGTCGGCCCCTGCTGCTCTTTCTTGGTAAAATGCCTTCCATCTCTCTTCTTTCCAAGCCATTGCGATGTTTCATATGGCTAAAGTACGTCACACAACCTTGCTGAATCATAATAATTATATATCGTTACTTACTTTGAGTTAAATAATGACGTAATTAAATGAGTTAATGCTGGGATCAAAATCACGTCGACCACCTTCTTAGTATGACATTACCACAGTCTGGTATCCAAGAAATGTAGCTGCATACACACACGATGTTCCCCTCAAGACTTGCTTCATCGCCTCTCGAGAGAGGGACAATGTGGTATATGCAGGCGAAGGACAGGGCACAACAGACTTCGCCAACATATAAGCAACTAGACTTTTCAGTGTAGGAAACATGGAGACCTGTCCGTGCAATCTGTCATGTCACTGCAGCTTGGCAACAGAAAATGCTGAGCAATTGCCCCAATACTGTCAACTGTATGGTGCTAACAGAGACGTAATCTGGACGGTTTCAAAGACCATGTTGAGAAAACTCTATGTTAAACGGGGAAATATGGACTGCAGGATGGCTTCTCTAAAGGCTACTGGCCTTCTGGCATAATATTGATCACAGAATAATCAAAGAAGAAAAAGAAGAGTACGAAGTAGTAGTGGAAAATGTTACCATGGCCTGCGAACTGAGCCCAGACCAGCGTCTTGACAGGCAAGACTTTATCACTGTGTCACCAGGATAATTTATAAGTAAATAATGCACTTAACATTGTCACTGGTATATATTAAGATTAACTGTATGTATTTTGACAGGACACACGAGTTGACAGCCAGCAAAACACACGCTGAGCTCCAAAATCTAGATCCACATACAACCTATACGGCACAGCTGGTATTGTTGCTTTCATCAGATACAGAGATGAGATTCCACCCTGTACACTTTGTAACCTTGGATTCACGTGAGTAATCAGCTGTGTTGGGCACATTTTCCATCAGTTGCTAATTGGTTTCGTTAACATCCTTAACTTTAGTATAAACTTGTCTTTCGTGTAGGGTTATAAGGTTCCGATATGGGGGACAAAGAATAGACCCACTGACCATAAACAAGAGTATCGCAATGGGGTGTTTTCAGTCGAAGGCGAAGACATCGTAGCTTAGCTGTAAACCATTTGGTTGGGCTTCTACATTTTTTAATAAGGTTTTTGTTTTTACCAAGCTAACCTGCTTTTGCAAAGTCTCTTATAATTCTGGTTTTGGTTTCATGGATATTTTTTTTCCTTATTTGTTCTTGATAAGATAGGTAGGTTCTGCCCAGTATTTGTGTCAGTGCCACCCACATTGGATGAGGTCGTAAAAAAAAAAGGACTGGTCCTTCTAAGGACTCACAGGAAGTTTTAGGCTGTCATCTTGCAGCTAACGGGACTTAATTAAGCCTGCTGTTTCACCTGACGCAATCGTAACACGCACATCGGCTTATATCTCCTTTTGCCTTTTCTCAGTGAGCCTATAGAGAGTGGCCCCTTTCTAAATTATATTGTTGTTGTTGCAAAATTCGGTGGTTAATTACTATGATATATTTATTTTTACTCTGCTTCATTAGTTGTTTGCACTCACTCACATCATGTGCGCATTGGAATTTGTGTTTCTTAATCTCTAATCAGTCAGTGTATTTTTTTCTCCCTGGAGCTGCCGATGAGCCCACGGGAAGTATATTCAGAGCTCTTAAGACTGGGCGTCGCTGCATTAAGGTAATGTAAGCCCTTTGGGATGGGGTGGGGTGGGGTGGGGTGGGGGACGAGGATGGGCGTTAGTTCCAAACAAGGGCTTCTATGGACAGAATAATTGTGATTCGAAGTCTTAGTGTATTTATTGCAGTCATTTCATTCTTTGTGAAGTGTTAGGTAATTTTTTTTTTGTGTTTTTTTTTTTGGTAATGCTGTTTGCTGATGAAAGCGTGTGGGTTTTTCTGTTATAATTGTAATTGTGTAGGTACACTTCATTCTTTCCAATTGTTTATACCTAAAGTGTAATTAGTTGCTCACTTGCCAACCTGAATTGAACATCCTAACCTGCACATTTTTTGACGAGAGCATAAGAATGCGGTCCGAAATCCTCAGGCTCACGACCCCCCATATCTACACCACCCTAAACAGTGGGCAATGCAGATAGTAATGACAGTCTGACAGCACCACAGCGTAATGGCTACACGTTAACCTGCAGATCTAAAGAACATTTGTTTAAATCCGCAAAAAAGCGAATTTTTTTTTTAAAACTGACCCTTACTCCCAGGTGTACCCAGCTTAAATTTGGTACCAGGTGATGACCTGGGAAGTAAAGGTGTCCGGAATGATGCTGATCCCATCATCCATTCAGCGCTGATTGGTCTATTCAGTAATAACTCTTTCACTATAGTATATTACCCCATGTGCCAAAGGTGCCAAAAAACGTGTCTCCTTTCCCTCCCCTCCCCCCCCCCCTCCTTTCCCAACTACTACAAAAGATCCTTTGTCACACCTTTAGGTATATTGGGCACATAGGACTAGACCTACATTTTATAAACCAATCGCCGTTTGGTGGGTGATTTTGTCAGCTCCACACCGGTCGTCCACCCCCCCCCCCCCCCAGAACTTTCCCTGTACCCAAAACTGGGTGGACCTGGGAAGCAATGTCATTTAAAAAAAAAAAATAAGATAGAAAGAAAAAGAAACTCCAGCTCCAACAGGACCAGAAAGCACAATCTACCGATTCGAAGGAGGGCGTCTAGCCGCTACACCACGGCTACTCCCCACAGCTACAAAATAACATTATAAATTACAATTACGAATGTATGAATGCCATTCATAAATAATTACAAGTTTACAGGGGATTTTTTTGTATTTGTGTGGTCTTGTTTGATTTATGCATGTGCCAATGAAGGCTCTTTAGCTGCAACGTTCACGTTTCATTTGTGTTATATTTTAAGCTGTCTAATCTTCTTTTCGTTCGGTTTGATATCTTTCCATTACACGTTTACAGGGGGCAGTTCAGCAGAATTACTGGTTGGTATTGTCACGGCGTGTGCGGTGACTGCTGTGACAAGTGTTATTTTAACACTGTTCTGTATCATCTGGTGGCAGCGAAGAAGCAGGGGAAAGAATACTGGATTTGAAAATAAGACTTTTGGGGTGAGTTATTGTTCTTATAATAAATCCCCTAGCTAAACAAAAATTAAAGGAGAAACAGAAAATGCCTAATTCTCTCTGTACTATGTCATATGCCTTTCATGGTAAGCAAAAGTGAATGACCCTTTTCCAGGCCTTTCAGGCGTATTGGGTATACAGTTAGTTAGTCTTTCCTCTTGTGTCGAGTGCGGCACATAGGGCAGAGGTCGTGACTCTCCATGCACGGCGGTCCGTTGCAATCCGTTGTAGGTCTTGGATGTTTGAGTGGCCCATGAGCGAGCCTTCCCTGATGATAGTTCTACGTAGGGTTTCCCTTGGTCTTCCACGAGATCTTTTCCCCTGTGGTGTCCAAATGAGGGCTTGGTAAGGAAGTCTTGATTTATCCATTCTAAGGACGTGGCCGACATAGTTCCAGCGGCGTTTTCGTATAAAATTAGACACATACTCTTGCCTGGATTCTTGCCTTATTTGTGTATTGGTTCGGAAATCTGACCATTTGAAATTTAGTATTCTTCTAAGGCATTTATTTTCAAAACTGTCTAATTTTGTGTCTAGAGTTTTCGTTGATTTCCAACTCTCGCATCCATAGGTTAGTACTGGAATCACACAAGAATTGAAGATCTTGAGATACAGTGACAGACCTATATTTTATAGACGAAACGGAATTTGGTGGGTGATATGTTCAGCATCTCGCCTGCCGACTTTACTTCCTAGGACTGCATCTAGTACCCATTCAAGGCTGGGTCGACCTGGGAGACAAAGTCATTTTTGAAAAAAGTCCAGCCCCTATCAGGAGGCGAACCTACGACCTTCCGATCCGCAGGTGAACGTCTAGCCGCTAGATCACGACGGCTCCGACTTTTCAAAGTAGTGAAGTAAATTATCACTGTCTGTTTTATTGGAAATCCCCTCTTATTTCTAACTGTTTTCTCAGAAACCCTCTTTTATTTCTGACTGTTTTATTGGAAACCATATTTCATTTCTGACTGTTTTATTGGAAACTCTCTTTTATTTCTGACAGTTCTATTGGAAACCCCTTCTTATTTCTGAGTGTTTTATTGGAAACTCTCTTTTATTTCTGAATGTTTTATTGGAAACGCCCTCTAATTTCTGACTGTTTTACTGGGAATCACCTCTTATTTCCGACTGCTTTATTGAGAACCCCTTCTTTTTGCTGACTGTTTTTATTGGAAACCATATTTTTTTCTGTTTTATTGTCTTCTTCTTCTTCTTTGAAAGAAGAATAATGTTTAATTGTAAACCCGTTTCATTTCTGACTGTTTTATTTGAAACCCCCTCTTCTTTCTGACTGTTTTATTGGAAACCCCCTCTCATTTCAGTTTTATTGGAAACCCCCTTTTATTTCTGACTGTTTTTTTTTTTTGGAAATCCCCTTTTATTTCTGACTGTTTAATTGGAAACTCCCTCTTATTTCTGACTTTTATTGGAAACCCACTCTTTTTTTCTGAATGTTTTATTAGAAATCCACTCTTATTTATGACTGTTTTATTGCAAATCCCCTCCCATTTCTGGCTGGTTTTTTTCTGTCTGTTTATTGGAAACCCTCTCTCATTTCTGACTGGTTTATTTGAAACCCACTCTTCTTTCTGACTGTATTTTTTATACCTCGAGAAAAATAATAAGTAGGTGGGCATACTGAAAACAACCTGCGATATCCTGACAACATATTGTTGCCCGCTGAAAAGGAAACACTAATGCGAGAAATGATGGATATAATCATAACAGTAAATCAAAATAAGGGTCTCAGTTTAAATGGCAGTACAACTGAAGTAGAAAACATTATAAATAAAATGGACCTTCCAAAATGCAGCATCAGTCTAAATGGAACAATCTTCCATGCAGGTGATACTGTAATAAATAACTTGGGCACCCTGATAACAGCAGGCGGAAGATGTATCAAAGAAGCTGAATGCAGAACAGCTCAAATAATTGCAGAATTTCACAAAATGATGAATTTCTGTGCAACCTTTCCTTGTCTATTTAGGCGAGAAAGAGAATTCGTTAGAGCTTTACAGATTATGTCGCCGTCGGTGGCTTAAGCGGTGCGAACGCGCTTCATAATGCCGGGGTGCTGGATTCGATCCCAGCTGAGTTTGTTTCGACAGTGGTACCGAGAGCTGACTGTTCAATGGCAGTGGCAAACTACTGAATGTAAAATTTGCCTAGAAAAACCACAACAGCCCAAAAAATGGATGGGGTTGTTACTGCAACGTCATGTACAGGATATGCGAATAACTTGTTTTTACAGATCCTAGTTTTATATACCGAAAGGAATCAATGACCGTTGGCCAGTTAGTGAAAATTTAGGGAAAGCGTCTGAGGTGAAGTTTATAAACGAATGATAAGACAACTCTGGACAAATAAGAACGGTAATGATGGTGGCTTTAACTCTTTGAGACCCAAGGAACGCATCATACGTTCATAGGTTTCTACCTAGAAGCCCAATGAACGCAAGATGTGCTGATTTTACGTCTCTCTTGACTACACTTTAGGTCTCTGATGCTAAACCCCCTGGGACTCAAAGAGTTAAAGAAGACTCCCGAAGAGAATGGATTTCCCATATCAGGAGGAGACAATCTACATCCATTGGTCACATCAGGAGAAGCGGAAAACTGGAGTACATCTTTACAGTGGGCAACTTGGTTAAGAAAGCAGTAAGAGGGAGACCGAGAGAGAAGATGCTAGGCAGTTTGATATTATGGCATGGAAGACTATCAAAGTCAGCACTGATTGAAAGTATCCGAGACAGAAAGTCGTAGAAAGATTTGGTTAATAATGCCACCCGACGTGGACTGTAAGAACAAGAATGTCCCCGTTGGCATGTTTTCAATTTTGTGGAATACCATAGTTTTCTAGACCTATTAGCGGTCGGTTTGTGATGTAGGGATGTCAACACAAAGTAGGAGCTTTTAGGCTGGGTCGTCCTAGGAGCCAATGTAAATTTCTAAAATAATCTGAACTTATGAAATTATTGGGGAAAAAAAAAAAACACTTTATAAGATTGCCTTTATGTATTACAGATTCAGCTTGAAAACAACAATATGGAGGCCAGCACAGGACCTGGATCGAACCCTGCAGTCAACTAAGCTAACGGATGTCATTGTTTTCTTCTCCAGCTTCTGTTTTCTTACATTTGCTAGATTTAGTATTATAGACATTAACTTTCATTGCGCGCAGAGCTAGTAAATAATGGAAAGCATGTTTGACGACTATTTGGACTTTGAATACAGTTTTGGACAATACAAGGTGGAAATAATGTTATGTTTGTTTTAACATTATACGAAATCTCAAAATTGAAGAGAGTGGTAAAGAAATAAAACACAATGTTCTTAAGAAGTTAAGTTGTTTAGTAAGTAAAGTAAAGAATCACTTTCCACACCTCCAAGCGTATCGAGTACATGGTGCTAGACCTATATTTTAAAGACCAATCGGCACTGGATGGGTGACGTGGTCAATATACGCCGGCCGCCTTTACTTTCCCGACTATACCTGATACTCTTTTAAGGCTAAGTCGACCTGGGAGCCAAGGTCGTTTTTGAAAAGAAAAATGCGCCTCCGGCAGGACCCCAACCCAGGACCTTCGAATCCGCAGTCACAGCGTCTAGGCGCTACGTCACAGCGTCTAGGCGCTACGTCACAGCGTCTAGGCGCTACGTCACAGCGTCTAGGCGCTACGTCACATCGTCTAGGCGCTACGTCACAGCGTCTAGGCGCTACGTCACAGCGTCTAGGCGCTACGTCACAGCGTCTAGGCGCTACGTCACAGCGTCTAGGCGCTACGTCTCAGCGGCTTCCAGTTGTTTAGTAAAGCTGTATACATATTATAGATGTACACTATGATCTGTTGTCAAACGTTTGCTGTCTGTTACCTTGATCTAAAGGAAACGAAACTTACATTTGGTTATAGTCGTCTTGTATATAATCCAGTTCCAAGATTGTAATTATATTTAAAACTTTAAAATGTAAATTTCTTCTATTATACTTATATTGACAACTAATTCTATTGTCTGCCATATTCGTATACTTAAATTATGTTTAAACAGAACAATTACTGGATTCGGTAGATTGTTTTGTAAAATGTGTCAAAGTGCCTTTTATAGTATTTGCTGATAGTTAATTACATGTTGAATCATTATTGTTATTCTTATCAAAAGTTGAAACTGGTTCACTGTAGACATGATTGTTGTATACTCGTTTGTATGGATCACGAATTTTAGTTTTTGATACAAAGTAATATGTTGCTAAAGCATTTTATTGTTAAGCAATGTTTGTTCCGGTTACAGCTGTGGTGACAGTTCTTGAACTACCGTACATATTTATTGTGGAAAATAATCATCAAGTTTTTTGCTGACAAGCTAAAGAGAGAATGTCTCCTCACAAAACTTCATAGTTAACATCTTCTTCTGTATTCGTCTTTTTAAAACCCTTTGTCACCCTGGGTTATGATTTACACCTAGACTGCCATATCTGGAAGCTCTTAAATAGTCGCCGTTTACCAGATGCTTTTTGAAGAGCAGTGCATCTATTCTTTTCCCTCTCTTTACTAAAATGGGACCCCGGAACCCACAGAGGTTATCAGTTTAAGAAATGAAGTATTCTTATATCAGGATATTCAACTGGCAGCCAGTGGGCCAGATCTGGCCTGCGAAGGCCTAGCGAGTAGCCCGCTGATCATTACTGTTTGTACTGCATTATGGGTCTTTCTATGTTAAACCTTGGGCATCTAGTCTATGACGATACCTAGTTTCACACTTGTGGTCTCTGTCAGCTTAGTTGAATAGCCCTGCCCTATGTGATGCGGATCATATTTTTTCCAAACCACTAACAAAACAACTGTCCAATATCGCTTCTCTTGATCTCTTTCTGTCTTTCTTCTCTTTCAGCTTTTCCATTTTCACAATGCTCTCCAATTTTCTTCTTCTCAAAACCTTGACAAAGAATTTATGTTAAACAAATTAACATGTATTTACTAGCGTCCATAGAAAGAAAGAATGTAGACTGTTTATTTCGGAATGTGAGTTATCAGTCCTCTTCGTGAGTTTTGTCCTTTAAAAAAGTTTTATTATGTTTTCTGTTTTGTTAATAGTGTTCTTGACATTTTCTTCTTCAATCCACACACACACACACACACACACACACACACACACACACACACATGTATCTATATATATATGTGTGTGTGTGTGTATTTGTGTGAATGTGTATGTGTGTGGAGATATAACTTATTTGTTTTATGCAGGAACTGCACGCCATCTGTTTTATAAATATCCTATAATATGCTCACATCGGTTAATAGACATTAGAGATGACCCCCAACCCGGCTTGTGCCGGGGGCCCTAAATATAGCCTGGCCATAAATATGGCCGAACGGCTGAACGCGGTTTCTGGGACCTCTCCAAGGGTGATTCTCATCCGCGTGGTGGCACCTTGTGTCACTAGTTGTTTATCGCTCTGTGTGATGTCCTGATGGGGTAAAAAGTCAGCCAGTCAGACCTCATATAGAAAAGCACACATGATAATATTTTTGGATTGGCATTTTTGTAAAAGTCATGTTTTATTATATTACGCAGACATATTTATACTGACATGTGCACATGTGCACAACATGAACACAATACTATATACAAGTATATATTTTAAAAAGGATATTTAGTGTTATATCATTTTATAATATATTGACACTGTTTTATTGTGGTGATATTTGTTGTAGTAACCCATGTGCTAAAAAATAATATCGCCAAAAATATTTAATTTGTTAACAACAATTTATGCTGTGATGTTGAAGTTAACTGGGTATTTTACTATTTATTCATCATCCAATAGGAGGTCCTTGACATAACGTTGCTCTCATTAAAAATAAAAAAATTGTTTCCTCGCTAGCTCTCCCGTCCATGTCTAGAATGTCAACTTGTTTTTAATTTCGGTGCTTTATTTATATCCTACCCCGAGATGACGCCACAGGATAGTCCAACATTTCAGAGGGTGTTTAGACTGGGTTTTCCGGCTTTTTGATGTTTTTAACCACCGCAAAACATCTAGAACTTTCCCTAACCCCAACTCACCTACGTCCCACTAAAGAGTGCATTCTAGGTTCCACGACTGAATGCAGTCTGTCTACAAGCCCCTGAAATACTAGACTGTCACATGACCTGTGGATTTCCCCTGTTTAGTGTAGGATATTAATAAAGCACCTTAATTTCTATGCCATTTGCGGTCTGTGGGACAAAATTAAGGGGTTCGTTATATTATTCACACAAAATCCTAACCTATGGAATGCAATCAATCCTTTTTGTGATTATTATATTTATAAATTATAATAATTCTTCATCTGCGTTCCTCAGACAAGAATGGATTGTCACATACAGCATCTCACGAATGGATCCCCTAACCTTTATCTTTGTGCCAGATCATATAGGTGTCCAAGGCAACGAGCGTGCAGATTATCTTGCATACACTGCAGTTGCTATTGCTGGACCGGTACTGCACAGAAGCGATGTTATCAATGCATTGTGCAGGACATACAGAGAAGACACACAGCAAAATGCATGACACCGTATCCCTGTCTAGGCTCATAGACATGGTGCTAGCAGTCTGGAACTGTAAGAAAGAACATGACACCAAGAGAACAAGACGTTTGACTTCTTCTTCTTTTACAATAATTCTGTCAGAAAACTTATATCAGGAGGCCGGTAGCCTTTACGAAAGCTATCGTGCAGTCCATATCTTCTCGTGTACCATACAACTTTGTCTTCATTGTGGCTGGAACAGGCCAAATTGCGTCTCTGTTGTCAGCATACAGTTGACAATGTTGGGTCACATGCTCAGCATTTTCGGGTGCCACGCTGCCTGGACACGTCTCCTTGTTTCCTACACCAAAAAAGGTTGAACATATGTTGACGAAGTCTGTTGTGCCCTGTCCTTAGTCTGAATATAATACATTGTGCATCTCCAGAGAGGAGATGGAGCGAATCTTGAGGAGAGAATGACATTTGACTGATCAACACGAAACATGCTGCATCAATTGTTTTATTTAGACTTGTTGGGCTTTGAGTATTAGATCGCCGCACTTGAAGATCTGTTTGGAATGCTGTGAAGATAAACCTCGCTGTTGCCTGTTTTTTGCAGGGGGGTCTGTGGCATATCTTCTAAACAAAGAGTGCGATTCCTAGGTCTTTTTAATAGTTAAACCATTGCTCTGTGTGACGTTTGTTTTCGAAGTGACTGCGCAGTGGTAGGCTTACACATGTTCTAGTGGTTAGCCGCAGAGCCGTGGTTACACTTTTGCTACCCAACAGGAGAACATTTGCTCAAAGCCACACCAGAAAGAAATTGTTGTACTTGACCGTAGCTACAAGGTCGACCTCGGCTAACGGATCTTAAATGTTTTGCAGTCAGTTCCTATTGCAGAGCCTCTTAAGCTGTGTACACTATAACTATATCTTACAAGTTAATGAATTTTAGAAGTAATGTTAATAGCGTAAGAAGAGTGCTTAAACAATGCAGGAGTGTAAAGCAAACAGATATTTTAACAGATGCCCTATGTCTATGCAATGAGATTGTATTTTAAAGACGGCGAGATTTGCAATAACAGTCAATTTATTATAAAATAAGACAAATCAATGCACATTCTGTTGCCAAAACTTGGTCATACATAACCGTTCTTCAAAAGTTCAATGAATGAAACCAGCTGCTTTTTAGTGGAGTTTAAATTGCTGGTCAGGGCAACAATAAGGTCCTTAGAATAGTTGAGTTTGGTCTAATGAGATACATATGGTTGGATTTTGTTTGCGGTGTTTGTGTGTGTGTGCGCACGCGCACGCGTGTGCGTGTGTGGAAGAGGGTAGAGGGGCCTGATGTTATAAATTTCAGTTTTTCATAACTATAGGCGATTATCTAGTTTGGCATTTAAGCGGCTTCTGATATTAATTTTGATGGCTGTATAAACAGAGAATTTTGCTTCACAAACAAACGTAGCTAATTAAGGCAGCACTATCAATTTTGCATTCTTGGATAACATTTTGAATCCTTCTTCTAAATACTACACACACACACACACACACACACACACACACACACACACACACAC